GTAGCGCAGTGGATGAGCTTGTCAAGTAAGCCTATTTAATTACAAATACTAATAACATAAATAAACATGACGCAACGTTCTCCACTACTCAATAAAATACTATCTGCATCGGATACTAATATTAAGTCGGGGTCTGGTGAGGGCGACAATAGTAGTCACCTTCAGACCACAATGAGAGATAAGCGTCGTCGGGTCTCTGATGAGAGCTTTGATGAACTTACAGCGTTCAAAATGGAAATAAGGGAGATGTTTTTAAGCTTTCAAGACACCCAAAATAAAAGACTTGACTTACTGAGCAGGCACCTCGAAGAGGTAAAATCACAGAACTCCTCTATCTTTATCACAAATCAAGAAATAGAACACTCTCTTGATGATATGTCTCATCAACTCAAGTCAATGCAAACCAAGATCGACGGATTGGAGGATCAACGAAAAAACTTTATGAGCCAAATTTCAAATATCGACGAAAAGTGCGAATATCTCGAAAAGTCTCTTAAAAAAACCAGTATCGAATTAAGATATATTCCTCGAGTACAAAAAGAAAACAAAGACATTCTCTTCGACTACATAAATGAACTTTCGAGATGTTTAAGTATCACTCTTCACCCAGGTGACTTACGTGACGTTTACCGTATACCTAACAAGAAAGATCCTTCAAAGACCACTGTAATTGCAGAGTTCTCAAATACTCAGTTAAAGACAAAATTCTTGAGTACCGCCAGACAATATATTAAAACCAACGAACTGAAGATTCTTAACCTGGGGATTGTAAATAACCACTCCACCCTCTTCCTATCAGAATCACTTACTGCTAAATCCAGACGACTACACTTTCTCGCAAGAGATGTTGCAAAATCAGAAAATTTTAAATATTGTTGGACTTCGAACGGCAATGTGTATTTAAAAAAGAGGGATGGCTCCGAATACATACAGATCAAGAATGAAGCCCAGCTTGTGAATTTGAGAAAGTCAGAATGACTAGGTTCAATATTACTTGCCATAATTTTTTATATTTTCTATTTCATAATAATTTTATTTCTTATAAATGCATTTAAACTAAACTGTAACATAAAAATACGTAGCCACCAGACATCTAAGCACACACATATACATAATATACAAAAACACAAGTCACTACATCTGAGAACGAACAATCCTACTACATTCACTCGCAATCACAACATTATACCTACCCACAATCAAAAGATATCCGCGTTCATACCATATTACTTAATATCAAAGTATGTTATATTTAATTTTATATTGTCACTATTCCAAAATAGTTCACTCAATGCTGTTAAAGTGAGTTCACAAATTAATTGCTTACAATTTTATTTATTCTCCATGTTTACAAATACCACATTCTTAATTCACCTTTATTTTAATATACCGACATACCGAGTTATGATACACTTAAAATATTAAACTTGTAACTATGTTCGATAAAAATAAACTTTTAAATGAGATTGATAATATGAAACTAACTAATTCCATAGAATTGGAAAATCCTGATATTTGTAAACAACAGCTTGGTGATATTTCGAAACAATTCACTATTTTCTCGCAAAACATACGAAGTATAAATAAAAATTTTAATTTTTTAATCGTACTTTTGCATCGTCTACGTTTTCAGCCAGATGTTATTGTGTTAACTGAGTGTTGGCTGGACGAAGCATTTAATGGATTACACTTAGACAGTTATAAATGTTCTTACTCGACAAAATATTTAAATAAATGTGACGGCATAGTGATATTCACTAAGTCGGATTTACAAATACGCGTGTCGGAACCAGACTTTAGTGATGCCAACTGTCTACGATTAGATATTGCTACTCATACTGTAATAGCGATTTATCGATCGCCATCTTTTCAAAACATAAACAATTTTTTAATTTCTTTGGAAAAAATTATAAAAAAATGTAAAAGTCAACACTGCATCTTGGTAGGTGATATCAATATTGATACAAAAGAAAATTCCACAGATAACCGAGCAGAAGAGTATCTAAGCTTGATGGCTCACTATGGTTATGTACCGGGACATATCATACCTACACGAGGACAAAATTGCCTAGACCACTGTTTTATCAAGTCCTCTCAGCCGTCTACGACTATTGTCTGTCATTCCAATATTACAGATCATAGTAGCGTACTTTGTAGCCTTGGCTCAAATGTCAACAAAGAAAAATCTAAAATAACCTTTACTAAAATCAACTATGAAATCTTACATGAGGACTTAATGCATTTTGACTGGTCGGAACTTTATGACATAACCGATGTCACCGAAGCGACACGATATTTTATCTCTAAAATGAACAGCCTTATTGAAAAAAATAAATCTACTCAGCACTTTCGCAGCTCCAATATTATTGTAAAGAAATGGATTACGCCAGGTCTTTTAAAATCAATTAGAATTCGTGACAAATTACACATTATTGCCAAGAAAAATCCCAACAATCATGAATTACAAAATAAATATAAAACCTACAGAAATATTTGTATTAACTTATTACATGAACAAAAAAATAAATATGAACACAACCTCCTAGAGGAAAATAAATATAACCTAAAAAAGACATGGAGTTCTCTAAAAATGATCTGTAATCTAAACAAATGTAAAAATACAAATGATCAACTATTAAAATTAGAAGACGATGCCATAAATTCTATCAACACAGTAAACAATTATTTCAGTACAGTTGGGGTGCGTTTGGCCGAGACAATTTTGGATGAATTGAAAACAACGGAAACTAAATTAGGCAACAATACACGTCTTACCAATAATTCAAATCAATCAGCCCACTCACTGTTTTTACAACCTACAGATGTAATTGAAGTTACTAAAATCATAGATACGCTGAAATCCAGTCGGGCCACGGGACACGATAACATTAGCAATGATATGTTGAAGCTTAATAAACATGTGATCGCGATGCCCATAACTTATATATGTAATCTTAGTTTGTCATCGGGAATAGTGCCGAATAATTTAAAAATTGCAGAGGTAATACCTATCTTTAAAGCAGGTGATCCATTGGAACCGGCCAACTACAGGCCGATTTCACTATTAAGTACGGTGTCTAAGGTGATTGAAAAGGTAGTTAATATGAGGCTTCTTAAATATCTAGAGGTGAATAGCCTTTTGGCTCCTAACCAATATGGGTTTCGCTCCGCCAGGTCCACGGAAGATGCCGTCACGGGTCTTGTTGATTTTGTAACTGATAAAATTAACGATGGACAAAAATGTGTAGGTATTTTTCTGGACCTGGCGAAAGCATTTGATACTGTTTCGCGACCAATACTTCTGAAAAAATTAGAACTGCTGGGAGTTAGAGGACTAGCGTTACAGTGGTATCAATCATAACTTAGCGAGCGAAGGCAGAGAGTACGAATAGGAGAATACGCAAGCGGTTATGCAGACATTGCTTACGGCGTCCCCCAAGGCAGTGTTTTGGGTCCCACTCTCTTTCTGACCTACATCAACGATCTCTGCTCCCTCAAACTGCCACAGGCTAATATTTTTACCTTTGCAGATGATACTGCCTTAATTTTCCATGCTAAGACATGGACAGAGGTTGTGGATGTGGCTCAGGAGGGCCTTAGATGTACAGCCAGTTGGCTAAAAAATAATTTACTTACTCTCAACGCAAGCAAAACAAAACTTATAGCTTTAAGCATAAGCAAAAGATCTGCTCCAAAGGAAGGTCTAAACGTAACACTACACACATGTGAGTCTGCTAAGCATTCATTGCAATGTCAATGCCCGACTATTGAACAAGTTTCGTGCACAAAATACTTAGGCGTAATGATCGATGAACACTTATCGTGGAAATCACACATCGATGCAGTAACGATACGTATAAGAAAACTATCTCACATATTTAAAAAAATAAGGTCTGTAGCGGAACCGCTGCTTATTCGAGCTGTATATTTCTGTCTCTGTCAATCTATTTTGGGTTACTGTATCACTGCTTGGGGAGCGTCAAAAAAAACCCACCTTCTTAAGCTCGAACGCAGCCAGCGAGCTATTTTAAAAATAGCATTTAAAAAACCCTGGCGTTATCCTACCAACACACTGTACTCAGAATATTACCTCCTTCGTGTGAGACAGCTTTATATTACCTCGATACTTCTTCGCTTTCATAGGGTTGCGAAGACCCTTGTGCGAACCTCACACAGAACTCTTAAGTGGGACACACCAAGGGCTCGTTCTGCTTTTGCTCGTCAATCTTTTACATTTATGGGACCCTATCTTTACAACAAATTTTTCAAAAGTAATAATACTATAATAAACCTGACGTCATTCCGCCTTAAAACTACCATCCAAAAATGGTTAATACCTATGGACTATGCTGATATCGAAAATCTGCTAAATATTGTTATCTAATATTACGCGCGCACCATCTTACACCCACACCCTAACACACACACACACACACACACAAACACACACATGCACACACATACACACACACATACACACACACACACACTCACATACGCATACACACACACACACACACATGCACACACATACACATACACACACACACACATACACACACACTCACATACGCATACACACACACACACACACACACACACACACTATCTTATATCTTTATATGATATATATTTAGTTTTTCTCTTAGCAACTGTACAACATACACAATAAATGCATTACTTTTTTTTTTTACTTTTTTTTACTTTTTAATACTATCTGAAACTCACGGAAGGGACTGGACCCCACGACACAGGAAATCCTAGTGTGGGGGCCAGAGATATTTTGTTTTAGTACTTAAGTACTCATGTAATTGTGTAAGTGTAATAATATGTTGTGAACAAATTTTTGCATAAATAAAGATTATTATTATTATTATTATTATGACGCGGTTTTACTAAACTAAACATTGGTAATGCCAATTATTCAAACAAATTGAGTTACATAACTGTCGATTAATGGTAACAGGTTGGTAATAGAAAAAAAACAATTATTTACTTACTGTCATCTCATTAGCAGAATTTCCAGGAGAAGGCAGTGGCTGAGGACTACCCAGTGGCGACGTCTGTTGGCGTCCTCCAAAAGGTACTCCTACCCGCATACCTAAAAAAAATATGAGAAAAACAGAATGACTATGCGTCTCGCACTATGACAAATATTTAAAATGAGAAGCTATTGTTGTGGATAAAAAATACCTTGTTGGTGATGAGGCGGTCTGGCGAATCTTGTAGGTAAAGGTGAACAGCCGGGTGCGGGACGTGGGAATCTACCCGACCCAAAGTCAGCCTACAAAATAAATAAAAAACTATTTATAATATTCACAACTAGCAATAAAATAAGGAAATCGATAGTTTTCCTTTCTATTCCTACTGGTAGCGATAAACAGAAAAATCCCACTATCCCTACTGATGCGATCAGTAGGGATATACGGAGCGAAGGTTCTATGTATCTCTACCGATAGCGATAATTGACAAAAAAACACCAACTATCCCTACCAGTAGAGATATAACAGTAAGGATATACGGATATAGGGGTAGATTTTACCATAGAATATTGGTCAATTATTTAATTGGTCAGACGAAGTTTGGTTCGTCTGACTAATCAAATATTTGAATTTTCTTTAATAAAAGACCGTAATGCCCTAATTAGACCGTGATGAACTGGAACTGCATAACCGTTTCTAGCATTATTAAATTCCAGCAGGATAGGGCCCTGCCAAAAATTTGGCCGTATTGAATCGAGAAAATAACATAAGTAAAGCGTCATTTGAGATGTTTTATAACCCATTTTTTAAAAGTATAATATTTTACATGTCCAATGTCCAATTCATGTAATATAATCTGTACAAATAAATCAAATTGGAGTGTCTGTTTGTAATATTAAAATAACCGCTTTTTACTAAATGCATATGTATGTTTACACGGTACATATGCCAAAATAACATTTTTTTCAATTTTTGTCTGTCTGTCTGTTTGTTCCGCAAAATCTCTGGAACGGCTGGACCAATTTCAACGGGACTTTCACTGGCAGATAGCTGATGACATAAGGAGTAACTTAGGCTACTTTTTTTAGACTAGCTTCGCCCCGCGGCGTTGTACGCGGTTATAACAACAAACGCGGGTAACACCGCGGGTCTCAGCTAGTTAGAAAATATTATCATCATTATTATCACTCATAAGCAACCCTATTCTGCTGTAGAAAGTATTAGCCGGCTCTAAAAGGGTGGAGGTTATTTGCATGGCATTGGTAGAACCACAGGTAAAACAATAGATAAAGTATTCGCTTATCAAGCAGGTGTAATACTAGCTATAAAAATAATAAAACAATAATAAATGAATTAATAATAATAATTTTTTAGGCATTTTTGATATATAAACGCTACAATTTCAGTTCAAATAAAATTATGTATGGGGACCTGCCATTGTCCTTTAGTGTATATAAGAAACTAATGAATAAGCTATCTCTAATGGGCTATTTTGTATGTCATCTTACGTTTTGAAGTTGCGGAGAGTGTGCCGCTACCGGACTTTGAATTTGCGATTGCTGATATATCTGCAAGAAACACATAACATTAAAAGAGTCCAGTGTAAATAGTTAGATTAAATATTTTCTTTTAGTTTCTGGTTATTATTAAACGTTATAGAAATTTAATCGAAGTATTTCAAAAAAGTACTAGGATCAAAAATTATTACCAAGGTAATTTGCAAATCTACAAACCTGTGGACTCCTACTAGGCGTAGGCAACTGAGGGCTGGTCCTCTGTGCTTGTAATTGTTGCAAGAAATGTTGCGGCGACATAGAAGTTTGCATTGGTGATTGCTGAGTATGCATAGGCGACTGTTGTAAATGCATCGGCGATTGCTGTGAATGCATCGGTGATTGCTGAGGCATCGGGGAATGTTGAGACGATATCTGAGTTTGTTGAGCATGTAAAGGCGACTGTTGATGCATGGGAGATTGTTGTGGATGCATAGGAGATTGTTGTGGATGCATCGGACTTTGCTGTGGATGCATTGGTGATTGTTGCGGATGCATCGGTGACTGTTGAGGATGCATTGGGGATTGTTGAGACAGGTTTGTCTGTTGCACATGCATTGGTGATTGTTGAGAGTGTAAAGGAGACTGCTGAGTGTGCAACGGAGACTGGGTCGATGGATGTAGAGGCGACTGCGACGTGTGATGCAAGGGAGATTGCTGAGAATGCAATGGCGATTGCATCGGTGATGTTAGATGATGTAAAGGAGATTGAGGGGCAAGAGAGTGTAAGGGAGATTGTGAATGGGGGGATTGAACATGTAAAGGTGACATCGCAGGTCTAGATCCCGGAGGTCGGGGCGTTTGTGATCCCGTTTGCATAGAGCCTCTTACTCCAGATAGTTGTTGTTGACCAAATTGCACCATGCCGCCTACAGATTGAGGTCTTTCTTGTCCTCCTGACAACTGCCTCACTAACTGTTGTTGTGGCGCTCCAGCTTGTTCTATCACTAGGGTACGCCCACCTTGAAGCAATCTTCCTTGTGCAGTAAGTGGCGACGCCACTAAACCAATTCTCTGTTGTGAAATCGACTGTCCATCAGCACCTATGACTGTCTGCTGAGTTCGAATTAACGTTTGTTGCTGTTGTATGTTAGTGCCTTGTAGCCCAAGTTGCAATGGCCGTGTTATAGTACCCTGTTGTTGTACTTGTTGGCCTTGATTTAGGTTTTGGTTAGGCACAAACCCAGTTTGATTACTAGTGATTTGTTGCTGGTTAATGACTGTTTGTTGAACCAGTTGCGGATTCTGTTGTCGTTGTTTTGTTTCGTATTCCTAGATAAAAAACATGATAGTAATTAGTATATTTTATTAAAGACAATTACGTGATTTATAATCACAAACTTTTGTTGGTTTTTTCTTTTGTTTAATCTTTAGTGAATTTTACTACCTTTCCTCAATAATATTTATGACAAACAAAATTATTTCTGCCTCAAATTTTCAAATATGTCCATGAGTCACGTACATAAGTCGAGTCAAAATTATATCTCTCTTACTATTACATAATTATCTATATCTCTTATTGTAAACAAGCAAGGCAAAATGAGCAAGTATAAACGGTGTTGTGTAGGACTATGGACTTATGAAAGTATTCAAATATGAGTGAATAAGAACTGATTGCATGTTTCTGTCTATACATACCTGCATAAGCATACTATGCTGTCGAGCCTGTTTCCTCGCCGCCTCTAGATGTTTCTGAAGCGCTTGCTGTTCCGTGGAAACTCGCTGCAGTTCGGCTGCGTCGTTTGGCAACAGTTCGTTGCCAGACTTGCGTAGCTGACGCTGTTTACTATTCAGCGACTGAAAAGTCAAGAGTAGTAGTCAAGTGTAAAATCAGGCCGCCCGCTCGCTAAGCTAAACCCTGAGTTAGTCACAGGATCGTTCGGTTATCGTGAAAATACCTGAAAATGAATCTACAGGCGGCCGGGAGGACGGCTCGCGCTACTAAGCTCACGAACACGAAAGCGCACTACTGCTCACCTTGCGGATCTTGCGAAGCTTTTGCACTTCGACTTCGTAGTATCGCTGCTGGTCGGCGGCGAAGGCGTTGTATTGCTTCAGCCACTGCTCGTAGAGCAGCCGCACGTGCGGCTCCGCCTCACCACGCTCCGGAGGCGCGGGCGGCGCCACGGGCGCTACACCCCCATACAGCGGCACGGCGGGCGGCGCCAGCGGCGCGGGTGCTACAGGAGGTGGCGCCACAACTGACCCGCTTCCCACGCCACCCACCCACTCCCCGTCGCGCTCCTGCTCCCGCTTCTCCTGCTCCAGAAGCTCCTCGAGAAGCAACGGTTGCTCCTGGTTTACGTTCTGACGGTTAAAGTTAGCCTGTTGACGAGGGGCCTGTTCCGTCGCCCGCCACCGTCACCGGTCACGATGCGATACATATATTAATTTCTACAATTCCTATACATTCCTGTTTCTTTAAAGCAAGCAATGACATTATTTATAACGGTATCTCTCAATAGCTAATTAAAATATTATATCTTGTATTTTTAACTTATTTACCTGTCTCATCTTGAATTTTGAGCCGATTGAAACAGTAATTTATATGTTTTGCATGATATACGAGTATATGGATTTACCATGCGCCGTGTGAGATTTTCTTGGAGTTTTTTCGAGTACAGAATTATAATAAGAGCAAAACTACAGAACTTTTAGCCGGCTCAGAAGTATTACTTTAAGCTACATTTATAAGAAAACAATATATATATCATCATCATCATCATCATCATCAACTATATATATATATAGTTGTGGAATAATCTTAGACTTCTTAATCTAACACAGTTAACTTAAGAGATGAATCAGCTAAAAGTTTGGTGCGGCTAATCGAAGATTGAAAAATAAAAAGTGATATTCTAAACGCAGTGCTAAACTATATGAGTACATTTATAAATTGTACTTTAAAACAGCAAAATAATTACAATCTAAGGAGAAGTTCACTATCGAAAACTAAGTCTTGTTGGATGTTTGTGTGTTTTCATGTAAGTTTAATTTAGAAATACATATATAAACTGTTTCAAACGGCAGAAATGTATGTTAGTTGCACTTTTCAAGACCGTGAACATAAAAACGGCAATATGCTATCTTGTCGCATAGCTTCGTAAAAGATGTTCAAATTATTTAGTGTGGCACTAACATGCAGCTCGTAGTTTAAATATTTGAACGCTCACTCCGTACATTAATTTTATTCTATGAATATATTTTATTCATTCATTTCGGTGCAAACAATGCCAGCCAAAAAGTGAAATAGGGCTAGCAAGGGGTAATACATTCATATGGTAACACTGGACAACTTATTTTTACCCTATACAAATCTTCACAACCAAAAAGTGTAACAAAGCAAGATGAGACAGGTATGCACTTTTACGCTCCCTTTTGTCCTATATTTTTCAGAAAGGCTAAATATTACATGAGATCCTACATTTTCATAAACTTGTTCTATGCTAAGTGCTTGTATAATTGTTATAGAACGTTAGTGTAGTGTTAGGAAGGATGCTGAAAAGGTACAAAGGTTAGTAGTCAGTACGCATGCGTGCGACGAGCAAGCCAAGTAAAAAGCATTAACACACAAATAGGTAGTTAGCGGTGACAACGCCCTCTAACATAAAATAAGACTAGACCTTTAAAGTTATGAAAGGAAAACTAAAAAAGTAGAGGACAGGAAGGAAAAGTTTGTAGTACCGTATATATATTTTTTTATGTTAGAGGGGGCAAACGGCCTCGTATGTATTTCAGTGATAGTTGAAAAATATCTGTACTATTCAACAATAGTTTGTGATAGTTGACATTTTGGATTTAAATTTGAATAGTGTTATTTATGAAATTGGTTAAGGTTTCCGCTATGTGTGTTTACATATAACAGGAATGATTTTAGAGTTCCCCGTATATAATATTAGTGTTACATTCGTGAATAAGTCTTCGAGTAACACTTATTATTTATTGAGAAAGAAAGAAGCAGTTTTTCTATGTTGAGAGTTGGAGGTTCAGAATCAATCGGATAGTAGGATATGAATCCGGAGGTATTAAGGTTGGATGCAGGTGCTACGTGAGGGTGGGGTCTGACCTGCAGTAGCAGCGGGCGGCGATGCAGCCAGTCGCCCCACTCCGGCGGCTCATAACCCTGCCCGCCAACAACCATCAATCACCGACATGCAAACAACACTTATGTACTGACGTCGTACACATACAGCCTACGGTTATCGCGATACAATCCATACGACTTTACACGATGAGCACGTATAGGTTATCGAATTATAGCAAATAACGGTGCCTATAGTTTTGTTAAACACGTGTACAATAGAGAGACTTTCAAACAACAGGGGGCAATAGTAAAAGTAGTTTAATAGTATAATTTTCTTTACGAATCGCCTATTTTCTATTTTTTTTAAATCTGCCGACGTAATTACGATTAATGATTACAGCGATTTATTCGTAATTTTTTAAATACTTAAAATCCTTTTGGGCTATCAATATATTTTTTTGGATTACACTGTTAACTAATGGATGGTGTCAGAAATTTTCTTTGACTAATTAATGGTTTTAAATGTAGGACTTTCAGGTGAAAGCTTTCTTTTGCCTTCAATAATTTATAATCATCAATAGTTTATAAAGACGACGCCTCAAATAATTATATTATATATAATGATATAATAAATAAATATTATATAATTATATATTATATGTAAATAGAAGATACAACATAATTGTAAGATACTGATTAGAGTAGATTATTTTGAAAAGTAAAAAGTTTAAATTACAGATATTTTTGAAATTTTTGGCGGTATAGTGAAGGGATGAAGACTTATACTAATATAGAGCTTCTAATTCGTTTTGAGAATATTTAGTACAATCTGTCTCGAAATTTTTTAGGGGTCCAGAAGTACCAAACAAAGATCCTTATCAAATGTTTTATAAAATTTATTGGTGAAGCTCAGTTTTTGCTACAATAATAGGTATAAGATAAAAGACTGGACTGAAGGATTACATGTTACTATTCACAATACGCCTAGCCTAATTTTGGGCTTCGAGAAAAGAAAAAAAATCGAAGTTTTCTACTTCAACTGACACAGAACATTAGTAAGTAACTATTAATGAAAGGCGTATTTTAACATAATCAATTTATATTCTAATAAAAAAAAGTTGAACTAATTTCAGATAAGCCTTATTAACGCATAAAAAACCTTTACTTTTTAATTATACATAAAAAAAGCATTCTCTGGCTTAACCTAGTACAAGCTATGCAAAATATTAAAGTCGTATGAATTGCGAGCGATTAATCGGTATACCCATGCAATATTAGTTCTCTAAGCTTGTCATGAAGTAGCCCAGCAATGTATTCGTAGTTAATGTATATTTACAGTCAAGAGACCGCCACCAAGACATAGACAAATTAATATTGCTATGGATATGACATATCTTAACATTGTCTGCGATACGACCAAATATCGAAGCTGATGATCAAATTTAAAGGGTTCACATTTAGAACGATTATAGTTAGATATTTTAGAAACTAATCGTTTGACTAAAAATGTGAACCCAAGCTTACTGCGTACATTTAAAGCTTATAAATTTCTCTCGACATTATGTCGAAACAAATTTATACAAAAACACGTAAATAAAAAAATATTACTGCATGCACGACAATGTATCCAAAAATCCTCCAAGACTAAGGTACTTATTTAATAGAATGAATGCTCCAAATGGCGTAAATATTAGTTTCATTCAATTTAGTAAATATTAATTAATTTCTTCTTAACCTCAATATGTGTTCTTTTTACTAACAGATCTTGACGTCACTATTATTGATTCTATATGTGTTTGTTTGTTTAAGATTAAACCTGGAATTAACTAAATAAACTAAACTAAATCCTGAACTGTAAGTAATCTAGCATTAAAAAATAAACTGTTAGTGTCTGGACAGACATTTAAACACGTCCTAGTGTAAGCAGCATTTATACTACTGATACAAATGTGTGTTTATAAAAAAGGACACTGAGATTTTAAAACATTATTTCATTGTGGTTGTAATACAGCTATATAAGCTGTATTAGTTACAATATAAGAATAAAACTTCTTTTATAATTTTAAAAATCATTATTATCTAACATCAAAAAATGTGAACTTAAGTGGAATTGCTGTTTAAGGGCTTTTTGTTTTGTTTGTAAAGAAACCTTAAAAATTTTAAACTTGAAAAGGTTTAATCAGATAATCTTTCAAAAGCCTGTTTTTGCAAGTAGTGATGTCAAGAGCTGCTATCGAGTGACATATATATTATGTCACGGCTGTCTGCAAGGTACATACCTGTGGGTAAGGCGGGGGCGGCGGTTGTTGCTGTCGCAATGTGCCGGGGTACGGTGGAGGCGGCGGCGGACGAGTGACACCCGGAACTCCTGATACTGTCGCTGTTAACGTAAACGCATTTTCAGGAATGTCTAATTGCCCAAGGCCTATTCATCAGTAGCAAAAGATAACATTCATTTATACATACGAAATACGCCTTTGAAGTTAGGCGTTGATTTTTTGTTTATGTAATAAGTCAAAAAATATTTCTCTAATAATAAATAGTGTCTTTCTAGTTTTGTATACAAAACCGTGAGAAAGCCAACCTTCGGCACAAATGGGTTGGCTCGTCCGGAGTAATAAACGGTGGCCACGCACTCGTGGCTCTAGAGCTGCAGGCGTCCATGGTCGGCGCCGGTCACTTACCAGCGGTGTCTGCTCGTTTGCCCCCAATACCATAAAAAATAGTATCGACATTTAAATTTAGTCAGATGGGTATCAGATTATTTGTACAATACGTTCCATTAGTTTTATAAATAATATTAGTTATAATTTAAGTGTTCAATAAATAAAAAAAAAAAATAATAAAAAAACATGTCGTTAATCGAGCTACGGAGCACTTTTCGCATTTATCAGGAAAGTGTCTAGTCTCATCGACACAGCGCGACCGTGAGAGGCACTGACCGTTGTAGGGCAGGTGGGCGAGCGCGACGGTGCGGTCGGGGCGCACGACGCCCACGGAGCCGTCGGCCGCCACGAGGCGCGTGCCCACGGCGTAGCTGCGGCCGGCGGCCAGCGCGGCGTTGACCTGCTGCGTCATGGCGTGCACGATGCTGGCCGCGTTGCTGGCGGCGCTGCTGGCCGTCGCGCCGCCCGCGCCCGCCGGCGCAGATGTGCGCGCTCCACCCTTACCACGAACGAAACGATTCACTTTCATTTCAAGACAAAAAAATCGACGATGGAAATAAGCAAAAATGATGGGAGATGCTACGCTATTTCTAAAACTAATTTTCAAATTATTTGTCAAAAAATTGAATTTCTTCACTCGATTATAGCTTCGAACGAGCATTATACATATGATAAAACTAGATTAAGTAAACTTAAACAGAATATATTATTGAGCTGTATGATTTTTAACTTCTAAATGGACAAAGTGAAGCTATCTTACCTGAGCGAAATGCATATGTTGGTTCGCTGCGAATTGTATTTGAGGTCGCTGGACCACTTGTTGAGTCATAACTTGTGGTTGTCCTCCTTGGTTAAACTGAGATGACTGAATTGGACGCTGCTGCTAAAAAGGTTGGTCAAAACCATTTTAAAATTAAACAATATTCTAACACATAAACATTAACAGAATAAGACAATTAGATCATAAGATAAAAGGAAAAAACTTATTTTGCAAACTCACTCTCTTTATTTCATAAATTTTTAAGATTTTTTTTTATTGTGAAACGTATACACTTCGCTTTGTGGTCATTTTAAAGCAAATTGTTGACGTTAAACCAATAAACCACTTTTGAAATCGCTGTTTACGTCTGTAAAATTAGTAAGTGTCCGTTTTAGTCTAAATAATAATGATGTATCATCTGCAAACAACACAATCTCGAGATTGTCCTTGACAAGGTGAGGTAAGTCGTTAATATATTCTAAAAACTAAAAAACGCCCATTTCTACCACAGAGCCTGGAGACCGCTCACCATTAATATCAACTTTCTGATAGTTTATATTAATGGTTTTAATTTCAATTATTTAATTATATAGATATGAAGCAAGAAGTTCCAGTGGTTTTTATTTGATACTATTGTGCTGAAAGTTCCTGATCAGAGTTTCATGAACAACACAATCAAAGGCTTTCGATAAATCGCAAAAGATACCTAGAGAATCGTGGGCATCCTCTCAGGCATCAAATATATGTTTTACTAGCTCAACACTGGCATCAATTGTGGAGCGACACGTTGTAAAACCAAATAGTCTATTTTGTAATAAATTATTATTAAAAACTTTGCAATTGAGCCTACATTTTTTTTTTTCAAAAAAAATTGCTAAATACTGGTAGTACTGACATAAAGTCTTAAGTTAGTTGGGTCAGATGTACTACCAGATTTAAATAAGTGAATATTTTACTAGACTTCATAAGTTTAGGAAATACACCACTATCAACACATTGATTAAATGTAAATGACAATTGATTAGCCACAAGAGATATAATTGTCTTAGTAATTAATACAGAATTTACCCATAGGTCGGTTGTTTTGTTTATGATTCTTGACTATATAAACCAATGCATATTACGCTACGACTGGTACTTAATAATATTAACTTACCTGTTGGTGTAGTTGAAGTCGTGGTGCATTAGCAAACATTTGTGCGAAGACTTGACGCTGCTGTGGTTTGTCTTCACTTTCGAGTTTAACTTCTGATTTAATGGCCTGCATTGCATTCTATTAAACATAAAAATTAAAAGGAATAAAGTAGTGATGGTTTAAATCTGCACGATTGGTAAGAGTGCTATTATTTTAAACTTAAGTAGATGTGATGACTTTGTTTATTTTCCTACATATCGTATCTAATCCTAGTTACATAATTTTAGTAAATTTTCTTTAGCTTTGCTCACGTCGTGTTGTTACTTTTTGCCTCAAGAATAGTTGTTTCGCGCGCAACAGACCTTTAGGATAAATAGTAATTTATCTTAACCGATTTGTAGAATAAATAGTAAGATAACTTTTATGCGAGCAAAGACGAACTCAAAAGTTAGTATTGTAATAAACTGATTTTTAAGCATACCTGTAACGCCATCTGTTGGTTTTTCGTAATAAATCGCTGTAGACTGTCACTGGACATGTGCGTAGGCCCTTGCCCAGCCGGGGACTCATTCTTAGGTTCATGAAGTTCTTGTTTTATATCCTGAACCTCTGGCTTTATTTCCGATTTCGCTTCTATATTTTTGACAGCTTTTTGAATATCATTGTACATTTTATTATCTTGACCGCTTTCAACTTCATCTCTGAAATAATTTTACAAGATAAATTATTTTAGAATATATATTATATGCATGTCGTAAGATATTTTATAAGTAAACAATATTTGGCGTCAACATAAACCACAATCAAACTAACATAAAATAGTACTTACTCTGGCTCCCTTTTGGCATGTCTCTCAGGCATACCATCATCGGCCAATTCCAGTCCATCGAGAATGTGTTCTGCATCATTGAGAGCTGCAAGCTCTGGGTCTGCATATTCTAATATATTAAACTGTTCTCCTATCTCTGCAGTTAAAGTCTCGAAAAGTTCCTCGTCATCCTCGCCGCCCAAGCCGGTCAGAATATCCCCCACCTTGATAAAAAGAGTTAATATATTAGAGCATGTTGTATGGTGTGAGAATTGTGGCGATTTTTTTTTTTTTTCATTTTTTTTTTCTTACAACTCCCGCACTAAGAATATATCCTGTGTCGCGAGGGACTTTACAAACATACATGAAACGGACACAAAGAACATTCAGACTCAGAACAACAATTTGTAATTCACACAAAATGTTGTTCCATGTGAGGATCGGACCCACAACACTCAGCGCAGTTGGAAGCGGTCAGGTGACCACTTAAACCACTTCGCCATCCGTGCAGTCAAATATATAGAATTCATCTATCTATTTAAATAAAAATGTTAAGTTGGTTTATGTAAGCTTCAAAATTAGAAAAGTTCTGCATTGATTGAGCTCAAATTTTGACACGATATTCAAACCGCTTTAAAGATTGTTTGTATCTTTTTCGCGTCAGTTTTGCTCCTCATTTCACATTAAAGCAACCACTATGTGCCACAGTGTCGTGGCAGGACACAACTGGTATTATATAAATATTTACAAATAAATTATTTAAGTCACCTCTCCAATATTTGCAGAATCTTGCTCAAGCTTGTCCATGTCTCCCATATCCATCTCATCGCTGCCTTGTTCCTGGCCCGTTTCTTGTTTAGGCTCAACACCTTGCGCTACGATAACAACGACTTTTAATATTTAAATTGTATATTTAATAAAATGTTTTAGTTTTTTTTTATATAGGTATTGTAGGTAGGTATGAAGTAACCCCTATGCCAAAACACGTTAGGCATAAGCGAGGTAAGAATTTACCATTTCATAATTTACCATTTTATGTACTCCACCATAAAAACAAATTGATTTATATCTTGAGTCAACTTGCAGAACGAATGTGGAGAGTATTAAATTAATAATTATTATACGACGGCAGAAAGCGAAATGTCATATCATGGAAATTGGTCTAAATATAAGTCTTATGTAATTTATCAGAAAAAAACCGTCGAGTGGTATACTCGTATGTCTGACTTCATATTACTAATAAGGTTATTGATACTGTCTTTTCTAGTTTTTCTAATCTTTATACGAAAAAAAATGACGACAAAATCGTTTTATGCCGTCGATATTTTCTTAATAGTAGCATATATATACGCCACGATCAACATACAGCTCGCGGCTCTTCTACAATCATAAGACATTTCATAAACCCTCGCTGGTTACGCATGTGTTCAAAGAGGCTCAGCGTAAGTCTTTCGAAGACAGCTCGCACTGGCTCGCCCACTCACAGGAGCCTTATAAACTTTTTTTATCACTCGCTGTTCGCTCATTATCTACGAGGGCGGGTCAATAAGTCTGTGACTTTTTGAATTTCTGACCTCTTTACTGAAAAAGCAACACTACTCCTGTCAACAGGCATCTGTCAGTTGACTCCTGTCAAAATTTGAACTTGCTGCGTCAGTTAGTTTGTGTTTGACAGCTATCTTTATCAGACTACCCAGTAATTTGAGGAAAAAATGGAAAAAAGTGAATTTCGTGTGCTTATTAAGCATTATTTTTTGCGAAAAAAAATCGGCTGTCTGTAAAGTCGGTTTACTGACGATAGTTGAACGTGGCAACTTCATAAGACACCACATTCACTTTTCACTGCACTTCATACTTGACGAAAACATGTAAATGTATTATTGTATAGCAGCTGTCCACGCGGACGCATCGCTCACTCAAGTAGGAGAGAGACAGATGTCGAACGCTACCGAACGCGGAGGCCGATTGTGCCTCTTTATCGCTCGTTCCGCGCTCTCGCTTGCAGTTCAAGCCTTAAATGGAACGCCTCAGAGCGAGGTAACGCCGCATGAGTCATGTTTTTTCGTGCGTGCAGCCGGCTCCATCGAATTATAAGACGTTGTCACGTCAAAAAAACCATTACCAAGACCAAGGCTAAGCTTGATAAATACTATGGGGACTCTGCACCATCGATTTCAATGGTAAAAAAGTGGTTTACTGAATTTCGTTGTGGCCGTACAAGCACTGAAGATGCCGAACGTCCTGAACGCCCAGTTGAGGTCTCTTCACCCGAAACAATCGAAAAAATTCACGATATGGTGTTGGCCGACTGAAGATTGAAACTGCAAGAGATTGTGGAAGCCGTAGGGATCTCGCATGGCTCAGTGGTTTCAATTTTAAATGATCACTTGGGCATGAGAAAGCTTTCCGCAAGATGGGTGCCGCGATTGCTCACAGTCGACCACAAACGCAATCGTGTAACAACTTCACAGGAAGGTTTGGCGTTGTTTAATCGCAATATGGAGGAGTTTTTGCGCCGTTTTGTAACCGTGGACGAAACATGGATCCATCACAACACACCAGAGACCAAACAATAGCCAAAACAGTGGGTTTCTAAGGGTGAATCGGCGCCAAAGAAGGCCAAGGTGGGTTTGTCAGCCAATAAAGTTATGGCGACTGTCTTTTGGGATGCACGCGGGATAATCCACATTGACTACCTTCAAAAGGAAAGAACAATCAATGGGGAATATTATGCCAACTTATTGAACCGATTCAATGACGATTTGAAAAAAAAAACCGACCTCATTTGGCCAAGAAAAAAGTTCTTTTCCACCAAGACAATGCAAGGGTGCACACATGTGCAGTTGCCATGGCAAAAATCCATGAATTAGGCTATGAATTGCTCCCTCATCCGCACTATTCTCCAGATTTGGCTCCGAGTGACTACTTCTTGTTCCCAAACCTGAAGAAATGGCTTGGTGGAAAAAGATTTGACTCCAATGATGAAGTCATCTCGCAAACAAAGGCCTATTTTGAGGACCTCGACAAATCATATTTTTTGGAAGGGATAAAAAAATTGGAGAAGCGTTGGACAAAGTGCATAGAGCTCAAGGGAGACTACGTTGAAAAATAAAATGATTTATTTATCAAAAAATCTGTGTTTTATTCCAAAAGTCACGGACTTATTGACCCGCCCTCGTAACATTGCAGCATACCTTTCTCAATGTGACTACATCTTCTTTCAACCCACACAGCCCTCTTCCCTCTTCACCCCTCTATCAGTCATCTTACATTATACATACTTCTCAGTGATAGTATTTCCACAACATTAATATTCATGTTTATTTCACCATCAAAGTTGGTGTCAACTCTGCCTCATGAGATGCCAGACGTACGTTTAAAGACATTTTTAGTCTTTTTACAAGGGAAAGTAGAACACCGTTTACCGAGTTTCCTTTTTGGACTCTTTTCTCAATGTCTTTGGCATGCGTTTAATTAAATCAACCCAAATGAAATTATATATTTGTTTATAATCTAGTTTCTAAGTCTTCTTATAAAAAGTACAATAGTATTTGGAAAAGTAACACTTATTCCGGGTACGCGATTATACTATTTAATTAGAATAATTTTACTATTACGAGGCATGCCTTTTAAGTTTTGTCGTAAGAAGAAAACACTACTAGAATCTTATAGTACTTTTTATTGTTTTTTAAAGTATTCATCACGTAGCTTAATACACTTTTCCATTCGCTCAAACCAGTTATTATAACATTTATGCCACTCTAAAGTGGGGGTGTTCAAAATGGCTGACTTGAAAGCGTCGACTGCTTCTTCACCGGACTGGAACCTTAGACCACGAAGACTTTTCTTAATTTTAGGAAATGTAAAGAAACCGTTAGGGCTTAGGTCAGGACTGTATGGAGGATGGTCAAGAATTTCTACTTTTTCCTCCTTCAAATACTCAATCGTTTGACGAGCGCTGTGTGAGCTTGCTTTGTCGTGGGGCAGGACGATGCGTCGCTTTGAGTTAGATTTTCGAAGTTCGGCGATGACCTGTGGTATACCACTCTGCGTTAATCGTTCTACGATCTTCAAGTGCAATAGTCGCAACATGGCCGGGTTTTCCAACGAACGTAGCCACCATCTTCTTTGAATTGCTTCGAGAACGAACAACTTTAGTCGGCTTGGGCTCGTCTTGAAAGACCCAGATTGTAGATTGTTGTTTGTTGTTTGGAATCAGGATCGTAGGCATAGATCTAAGATTCGTCACCACTGATGATGTCGTAGACGTGATTTGACTCTCCTCGGTTGAACCTTTGCAGAGTTTTCTTACACCATCTGACGTGGGCCGCCTTGTGATCGTCGAAAAGCAGATGCGGTATCCAACGGCAAACTAGCTTTCTCACACCAAGCGCTTCATGCAAGATCTTCGAGAATTAGTTGTCTCACAGCAATGATGTTATCTTTAGTGAAGGCGGATTTTGGGCGTCCTTCGCGAGATTCGTCACTAACACTAGTATGTCCACGCTAAATACCAGCGTTCGACAGTCCGCAGACATGGGGCTTCATCACTGAACACAGCTCTTCAAAACACTGAAGCCGTCAGGCCTCTTCTAAAGTTGTAGAAAATTATTGCACGAACATTTTCCTCAGAAAGATTCATTTTCGTACGTAACCTGACAGATTCCAATCGACGCTGTGACTAAACAATAGCATTAAACCTAATACTTTTAACTGTTTTAAGATTCAAAATTTAAACACATTCGAATATAGAACAGGTCCAAATTCAAAATTGCCGGGCAATATGGAAACGACAGAATTTAAAAGGCATGCCTCGTACTGCATAAAAGGTAAAAAGAAATTACATATTCGCAAGTAAAAATTACCATTTGTTTGTATGATGTTCGACTTTTGATCAACGAGTTGCTGCGACTGAACGTTACCGACAGCCTGCTGAAGTTGACTGTTGTCTGCTGTTGCGATCCGCTGTTGCATTATCACTGTAGCAAATATACAAAAATAATTCTATGCTTAAACAATATTTTGAATGTTATTAGCAATACCTATTGTGTTTCAAATATTATTACGTGAAATACTTAGGTATGTAATTTTTACAGAGGATAGTATTCTCTGTAAACTCTCTCTCTCTCTCTCTCTCTCTCTCTCTGTTCTCTGTAACGTGAGTTATTGCTAGTATTCTTATTAGCCCCTCTTGCTAAACTAAAATTCTTGTGTTAGGAGTGGGTTGTGAGTGAGTGATCATAAGTTTGTAAGTTGATTGATTGGCCAAGGAAACATTTTCAATTCAGTGTAACAATAAATTATAGGTTAACACCACATGCATTGGATGCAGCTATGCAAATATAATTGAAGCTTTATTGTGAAGCCCCTCTTGCTAAACTAAAATTCTTGTGTTAGGAGTGGGTTGTGAGTGAGTGATCATAAGTTTGTAAGTTGATTGATTGGCCAAGGAAACATTTTCAATTCAGTGTAACAATAAATTATAGGTTAACACCACATGCATTGGATGCAGCTATGCAAATATAATTGAAGCTTTATTGTGAAGCCCCTCTTGCTAAACTAAAATTCTTGTGTTAGGAGTGGGTTGTGAGTGAGTGATCATAAGTTTGTAAGTTGATTGATTGGCCAAGGAAACATTTTCAATTCAGTGTAACAATAAATTATAGGTTAACACCACATGCATTGGATGCAGCTATGCAAATATAATTGAAGCTTTATTGTGAAGCCCCTCTTGCTAAACTAAAATTCTTGTGTTAGGAGTGGGTTGTGAGTGAGTGATCATAAGTTTGTAAGTTGATTGATTGGCCAAGGAAACATTTTCAATTCAGTGTAACAATAAATTATAGGTTAACACCACATGCATTGGATGCAGCTATGCAAATATAATTGAAGCTTTATTGTGAAGCCCCTCTTGCTAAACTAAAATTCTTGTGTTAGGAGTGGGTTGTGAGTGAGTGATCATAAGTTTGTAAGTTGATTGATTGGCCAAGGAAACATTTTCAATTCAGTGTAACAATAAATTATAGGTTAACACCACATGCATTGGATGCAGCTATGCAAATATAATTGAAGCTTTATTGTGAACAATAAATTATAGGTTCATCAACAACAAAAACCCTAAATATTATTTGTCACATATATTATGTATAATGTATGTGACAATAGTATCCAAGAGTGAAAAAGACATCTGATCTTTCATATTTAATATGAAAAACTATAGTGCCTATACAACTTACATTGTTGATGTTGTTCAGGTCGCTGAGTGTGCACGAGAGGGGCGCGCGCCCGCAGCGCTACGGGCAGCGGCTGGCGGAATGCTTGCCCATCGCCGCCATTGTCTTCTGCTGGCAGAGAACTTTCACTTATTATTCACAAACTTCATTTATAATTTTTATCATCATTTATAATATACACGGTGATTTTTTAGGCGTTTTGGAAACGAAACGTTTTAATTTGGAATTATATATAGTACCAATAAAGATGATTAAATCAATTGTAATGTTGTCTAAAAAAAAGTTTCAGTTTTAATATTCATTTTTACTCGATCGACTTGGAAAGTAGTAATGGACTGATCATTCATTCATTATCTTATATGAATGAAACACGTCCGTGGGCGTTTCGGCGGCCGCTGCGCACCGCTGACGCTAACAGCAGCTGATAAAAGTATACCTATAGGCGCGAGCTAGCGAGTACTTACGTTGATAGACTCCAATTTGTCCTTCATACTTTACACGGGCTAGGATCGTCGGAAATACCTATTTTATTTAAACTTCTTTTCGATTATTAACCACGATTGTTCTTTTCACAAGAAATCAATTTATCAACGGACTGTATGTATAAATATTTCAAGCGTATTTAAAAAATCGGAGCTATCTACAGAATAATTAACTTACATACCTATTTACACTATTTACACTTCTCTGTATCGAAGCAACTGCTCAAAATGGAGTCCGCTGCATTCAATACACAAACGTCCACGTTTAATGCAATTGTTTTTTAATTTTCTTAATGTGTCTCTATCGTTTTCAGTTTATCAAAAGCGTCCACTATCGCAATGCGTAAATTATCACGACTTTCATATTCCCGTGTATAAACAAGTATTTTTATTTCCGACCATAAGAAAAAATCCAGGGGCGTTAAGTCCGGGCTTCTAGGTGGCCAAGGCACTGGCCCTCCTCGACCTATCCACCGATCACTAAACCGATTGATTGATTGAGATTGTCCAGGTATGCACGCACTGGCGGAGGAAGCAGTCTCCCGGGGCGAAGTGGTGTTGGCGGTGTCCTTGGACATCGCCAACGCGTTCAACACTATGCCCTGGAGCTGCATCAGGGAGGCGCTCGTGTATCAGGAAGTGCCTCTCTACCTCCGCCGCATAGTCGGGGCATATTTGTCGGAGAGAGCCGTCGTCTACCCCAGTAGGACCGGTCTCGGTAGGCGTGAAATGTCGTGCGTGTTCCGAAGGGGTCGGTGTTAGGGCCACTCTTGTGGAACATCGGCTACGACTGGGTGCTTCGTGGTGCCTTCTTGGATGGTGTCGCCGTCGTGTGCTACGCGGACGACACACTCGTGACGGCGCGCGGCAAGACGCACCACGAGGCAACCCTGAGGGCCACGGCCGGGGTTGCCCAAGTCGTTGAGCGTATCCGGCGGCTGGGTCTCGAGGTGGCTCTGCACAAGTCCGAGGCCCTGTTCTTCCACGGGCTTCGGAGGAAGCCGCCTGAGGGATCTAGCCTCACGGTAGGAGGCACTCGCATCGGCATCGAGCCCTCGATCAGGTATCTGGGGCTCGTACTCGATGGCCGATGGGACTTCGGCTATCATTTCCGAGGTCTGGTCCCCAAGTTGGTTGGGGCAGCGCGTGCGTTGGAGCGGCTGCTGCCCAACATAAAGGGACCCGATGACTCCTGCAGGAGACTCTACTCGGGGGTTGTGCGGTCCATGGCCCTTTACGGGTGCCCAGTATGGGCGGGGGCCCTGAAGGCCAGCAACGTCGCGATACTGCGACGACCGCAGCGAATGCTGGCCATCAGGATCATAAGGGGGTACCGCACGATCTCCTTTGAGGCGGCGAGTCTCCTGGCCGGAACTCCACCGTGGGGCCTGGAGGCGAGAGCCCTTGCGGCTCTGTATCAGTGGCGCAAGGAGGCGCGGGAGTTGGGTCGATGCCCCGAGATTCGAGAAATCGATGACCGGAAATCCCAACTCCGCCAGGTCATCATAGGGGAGTGGAGGGAACGACTCGGGCAACCGAGCGCCGGGCACGCCGTCATCGCGGCGGTAAGACCCGTTATGGAGGATTGGCTCGAGAGGCGTCACGGGACCCTCTCATGCCGATTGACGCAGGTGATCACTGGTAAGGGATGTTTCGGAGATCACCTGTGTCTGATCCGCAAGGAGCCAACGCCTGAGTGCCACCACTGCGATGGCCAGACCGTGGACACGGCTCTCCACACGCTGGCAGAGTGCCCGGCGTGGGTTGAGCAGAGGCGAGACCTCGTGGCGGCCATCGGAGTGGGAGTTCTCTCGCTCGATAGCCTGATTGCGGCTATCGTGCGGAGCGAGAGTGCGTGGAACTCTACCGTCACCTTCTGCGAGCAAGTTATGCTCGCGAAGGAGACGGCGGAGCGAGACCGGGAGAGGTTTAGAACTCTCCCGGCCCGCCAGGCCCGGGAACGGGCCAGGTACCGCAGGCGACTCAGGCGCCGGAGGTCGCAGAACGACCTCCGTCCTCCATAAGCGCAGGCCTGGGGGTGACAGGTGAGGCCATCTGTCACCCTAGCAGAAGCAGGCCGGAGTGGCGGCGAGCGCGTTGCGAAGCGCTCTCGCTTCCAGGGAGCACAGGGAACATGGGGTTCCCACACGGGGGGGGGGGGTCGTCTACTCGTCTGTAGATGACCCGAGGTATGTCGGGGCACCAGGGTCTTCCTTTCTAGGGTATACCTGGTTCCCCGGCTATTAGTACCCGGCGACGGCGTGCGGTTTTAGTCGGTTCGAGTCCGACATGCCACCGACAGGTGGTATCCGAGGGGATTTCCGCACGGAAAAAAAAAAAAAAAAAAAAAAAGGTATGCACGCACTACACTCCGGCGAATAATAATTTAAATGTCCTTCCTTGCGCGTGAGTATAGTATTTCTATTCGTAGTATTTACCTACTTGCGATTGAAAAGCCCTACTACTGGTTCTCACCTTTTCTCTGTAATCGATATGAATATATCGACTTGGATGATAAAAAAATATATATATTTTATTAAATTAACGTTATATATAGCTTCTGTTACTGATAAATAACTCAAAATTTTCTTTTCCAAAACGCTTTCAAAATCACCGTGTATAATTTTTAAGAAAATAATAATATAAATTTCTAGAAATTGTATTTGAAAAATAATAAGCAAATTCTGGGTGCATATAGCTGCACGTGATGACCACTGTGTGACGTGAATAGCACTTTCTAACTCCTGTACTAATCTTATTGTCTTCCGTAACCGTCACCGCACTGTTCAATTTTGTTATTGCACTGTTCAGCAATATATTGCTATAAACATAAATGTCTATGATAAACTTGAAGTATTTAAATTTTGAAAAAGCTATTGCTTGTTATTGTGTATTTACAGAAATTATGAAACGCTAAGTAAGTATAAGATGGTTTCCCCTTAACATTCATCGATAAAGATCTACGAAAAGACGATATATAAATATTTTTATGATCTCATAAAAAGCTTTTTAATTTCGAGCTTTGTCCTATAGACTTTCCTCTCCTGGAATACACTTACAAACTCTTTGTAGTGCAATTTTTCCGATACTGTATTTTTGCTCTTTCAAAAGAGACTAGCAACGGACTAATAATCACAAACAAAACGTATCGGTAAACGGTGGTGGCGCTGAAGGTGCATCACATCGCCCTAAGCCCTTACGCTTTCTAACAATATACTTTTAGCTTTTAAAAGAGTTTCTAACTCACGCGGGGACCATATCTTGTCGTTATTCCTTTGCAAGAGATCTCTAAGCTGTCTGTTGATGTCTTCATTATTTCCATAATGTAGTGGGAACCGTTGTGCAGGGAAGGCACTTCTTGGAGCTTCGGCCGGGGCCGGTGAGGGCGGCGGGGGACCGGCAGTCGCGGGACCGGGTCCCACGGGCACCGGACCCAAGGCGCCAATGGAGCCTATGGGCCCACCAGTCACCGCGGGCGGTGAGCTGCCGTCCGGCGTACGTAAACGCTGCATCGCTGCTTTCGTGTCAGATTTACGTGACGGTTAGTTTGTGTTGACTTTACACTCTCTTAATTTTTTTAGTTTCATTGAAACTGCTTTGTCATTTAAAACATATCCGATTGTTACATTTGGGAGCTTATAGATCAAAGTAATCTGCTCAAATTTCAATTTATATGAGTTACAATGTCACTATATAGTTACCTTGCATCCTTTGATCGTGTATAATCTGTTGCTGTTGTTGCGTCTGTTGCTGTCTTTGTTGCTGCAAGTTCTTCCATTGTCGCTCTTGCTCAGCTTCTCGCGCACTTCGCTGTTGGTTGCAGGCGCGTTCCTGCTCCTATAGCAGACAACCAATGTTACCATAACAGATTACATTTCGGATACACTTCACTGATTGTCATTGTGTAGCGACAGAATATTTATTATTTTAATTATTAAAATTAACTTTATCATCAAACAATAGACTACTTATGTTGTAATGAAAGTAAGATATAACGCACGGAGTCCAAAGCCATATGTATTGCATCATCCAACTGTTTCTGCATAGCACCATCGCGCCAATCCGCGCTCGGTTTGTGCAGCTCCTAAGAGAGAACTGAGCATTAGGCTAGAGTTATAGTTCACAAAGATAAATACTGTGATTCCCAAATGACACGGCCGTTGTTATAGACCAAAACATAGACAGATAAACGAGTAAGAATAGCAATGTATCGTTAGTTGATTTCTTCATCCAAAAAAGACTACTTCCGCAATGTGAACACTACTGTAAAAATAGTAAAAAGATAATGTCCACCATTACATTATGTAAATGCGTTTTACTTTAAAACTTGTGAATTAAACATAATTTATCATTATGATTTTGGTTAATTAGTTGATCTTGGTTATAACATAATTACTACAGCTATATTGATAGTGTAAGTCTAAATGCGGGAATAACAAGATCATCATTATCTCAACCGAAAGACGTCCACTGCTGGACATAGCCTTCCCTTAAGGTTTGTCACAACAACCGGTCATGTGCTGCCCGCATTCAACGGCTGCCCGCGGCCTTTACCAGCTCGTAAGACCACCTTGTGGAAGGCTTACCCACGCTGTGTTTTCCAGTAGGGTCGCCACTTGAAAACTTTGTGGCCCATCGGCCATCGAATAACAAGATATGGTATGAATTATTATCAAAACATTGTGTTCAAATAAAATGTATATTTACTTTCAACACAATTGTTCAGAGTGCCCGTAAGAAGTGATTTTTTAAAGATTTAGTAATTGATATTCGTTTCATAAAGTTCCATTTTCACGAGGTTTACTTGTCTCGTGACCCTGTGATGCCCACACAGTGTGTGTCTCTGTGTTCGGGAGTTACATGTAACAACGTCGAGATTCGACAGGTGCTACTTTTGTGTCTCACGAGTCGCTCGATAGATTTTAATTATGAGTTCGCGTGTGCTAATATGTTACATTCATGGACAACTCCAATACAACTAGGTAATGTCAGCAATGTGCAGTAGCAGTCACATCACGTAAAAGTCCTCAAGTGAATACATAGCTTATCTTAGAAAATAATTGCACAGAAGTAGGCAGGCTTTTTACATTTCACTAAACTTAGTCATTTGGGAATAATATTTATCGTTGATAAAATCCAACCCTAATCTTAGGTTTTATTTTATATTACTGTCGCCATACAATGACCGAACCAGCTCCATGTTTTTACATAATGTGACATGCTGAAAATACTACGCAGGCAGTTTTAATAAAAGCATTGTACACAACTGTACATTAACTAAATTTCTTTTTTAATTCCTATATTATATTTACATCGTCTGCACTTACTTTGCAGCTTTTGATACAATTTATTAGTTATCTAACACAACAACATTTGTATTTAAATACATAGGTAATCATTATTTTTATTAAAATTACTTCAGTTTCTATATATCAGTCTGTCAGTTGTAGGCTAATTACACATCTAACAGAGTGTTTTCATTTAATATTCATGCTTATGTTAATATGCATTAAGTTTTATAAATAGTAAGGCTTTAGTTTTAGTCTAAGACCATCACCACTTAGGTATAGTTTTAAACTTAATGTATATTAAAATGTGACATTATAAATTAATGTTATGTTACTTTATGTTAATATTTTTACTTTACATGATAAATTATCTGCCTAAACTTAAAAATAATAACATAGTAAATAGTAGTTTTAATTAATAAATTTAATTAAATAGAAGTAAAGCAATCCTAAACCTAATAGAAAAAATGTTGCACAATATACAGTAACAACGTGTGAACTTACAAACTACATTACAAAGCTATATACAAGAGCAAAATGACGCAAATAAATCGTGAACTACATCGAACTATGTTAGATTTGTTAGCACACCACAACCAGCCACCAACAGCTTCCAATGTTAAAGCCAACACTACCAAGGCAAAGCAAAAATAATAAAATCAACATTACGGAAACAGAGGACACGAGTCCGGGAGGCTCTTTGGGAAACGATTGGAGAGTGACGGTCTCGTTTGAAAATAAAAAGCTAAAAGAAACTTGAAAAAATAATCACACAGCGTACAACGCCATTGAACAACCAAAAATTATAATTATTGTTGGGTGATGACAAGAATTTAGCTTAATATCAGAGGGATGTGCTAAGGACCGCGAGATGTGAGGTTGCGCGATCACCCAACAAATTTAACGGAACGTATCTCGCATATACACACGCACGCACTGTGTATGGCTTGGATTATATTGTGGAACATAAAACTGTTCATACATATCTGTAAGTAAATTATAAAACGACTGAGTTTTTTGGTTTTTGACAAAATGATTTCAGTGTTCAGGATTTTATTATATTGTGTCCTGTACACCTGTACTGTTTCAAAAGACAGCTCCAGTGCTATATTGAATGATCTTTTTGGTTTGTTTGTTTTATGTTTTCGTGTATTTCTATGCTAATTACAACGCCGAACGCGGTCATCGAGTAGGTATAAAATTAACTCACACTAGGCCCTGAGGTGTAATTTTACGATGTTTAAAATGTACAAAATTAAATTAAATATATATGTGTGGATTTAAGAATATTTAACGTGTGTGCGTGTATGTGTAAGGGCGCGTGTGAGTGCGTATGCGAGTGCGCGCGTGGGTACCGTGTGTGTGCGCGGGTGATGGTGCGCCAGGCGCGGCAGCGTGCGCATGATCTCCGAGGGAGTGAGCACGCGGATATGCGCGTCGGCCTCCAGGAGCCCGCCCGCCGTCACCGTCACGTTGGGCGCGCGCACCCCGCCCCCCGCAGGGCCCGTCCCCGCCGTGACTGCGCAGCCCGTCGTCACGGGTGTGCTGCTTAGACTGCTCGTCCCGCTGGCCCCGCCAGCCCCGCCGGGCGCCGGACTCGCTCCGCCCGCGACTGCACCCGTCACGGTGTCCGCCTCGTTCGTCGTGCTCGAGCTCTGTCGCGCCCAACCACGGCTTAGTACATTTCATTTTCCACCGAGATTCTCGTTGACGCCACTTCAGGTAGATGGCGATGGACTTTACAAAATAACATCCGACGTCTCCAAAACATGAGATACATTCGAGGACAATATCCTAACCACTATTACAAAATCCCAATGATCGGTGAAATATTTTAGTAACTAATTGTCGTGATAGAATACGAAACGAAAACAATAAAGATAATTATTTAGTATGATTCTTGTGTATGAAATATATTATATATATATACCTACACTTGCTATTTATTAAATAAACAGTATTTCTCAAAGTAATAAGTGGACCGAGGAAAGACTCCTAATAATAACAAGTTAACCCAGTACAAATTAAATTCTACTTAATTAGACCGTTGCCACGACTACAGTTGCGACTGGCCGACAATGAGACGATACCTCAACACATTTCACTTTTCAGAGAAATCGCTATCGCCGAGCCACTGATGAAGACCAGCATGTGACTTAACTTCTAACGTTATCATGAAGCGTACCTATGTCTATTATGGCTGATAGCCATCTACAAATTTAAGAAATGAATCATTATGAGTTATCCCAAACCATAGCTGATCCTGAAAATTCTCTTACGTCACATTTTAACTGCTACCAAAACAATAATAAATATTAATAGTTTACACAAAAAAAAAACACAAATATTGTGCTATGTGTATCCTACAGCCACGGTATTTACATGGTGAGATAGGCGACAGAATCTACAGCACACGTGGTATGATCGTGTAACGTTCTGGCGATCGTGACCGGCAGCGACGCATAGAGAATGTATTTTTTGAAACATCTAAAATATATAATTCAGTTACGACAGATATAAAAGATTCAAGCGGAGCCTAGTAAATGAGTAAGATAATGCTTTTATCGACTGAACCGTATATATAGCGACAAATTTAACCTTTTCCACAATTAATAGTAATACTCGACTAAGGTATTTGTATTATAATATATGAAAACGTATAGCTACTCATGTTGTTGTTGTGAGCGGGATAGCCATTATTTGCTTCACAAATACATAATCGCCGATCTATTTACGGCCATGATACAAAATAGCCACACTCTTTATTATACTGTTTTCACTAGCATTTGTAGTTTTGAAGTAATAATGCATAATTTTATATATTATTTTTATATTTAGTTTTATTTTAATTCTAACAATTTTAAGACGATTGGACTTAACGAAACCGCTTAGTTATTTAACTAAAATTGAAGTTCACTTAAAAGGTATGCTTGTTACAATGAAAGTTTCAAACATCAATAGATAAGAGTATTTTGCCTTGTTAAGCAATAATATTTTTTTGTTCTTAGAATAGTTCACAAGCCGTCAGTCGTAAAAAGCACTATGATAACGTTTTCAACAGGCCCTTACGAGTCGGAGTTCACTTTAGAGCTAAGGTGAATACCGGCCCTAAACCGAAGTGTAAAAACACACAGTATAAACACAGTGGTAAGTGAGTTGGGTTAGCACACACCACATCTACTAACAAGCAAACAAACATACCTGTTGAGCTTTCTTCATTCGGATCGCGCTCCTGTTGTCCCGCGCACGTTGCAAATAAGGGGCTTTTTGATCTGATGGCAGCGCTCGCCACTTTTTCAGAATTTGTTTAACGCGGTCTCCCCAATTCGGAAACTCAGTTTTCCATTCTGAATGGTTCATGTTAGCGTACAGGACCGCTGATATAGTTGCCGCTGAGCCTAAGCCTGGATTAAAATATTACAATAATTTCTTTAAACTATAATTTATGTATATATTTATTTATTGCGAAAGTTTTCATTCTTTTTTTTACATCAAAAATCTAAAATGATAGCCTAATTTGTTATGTGAGAGTGTTCAAGCGGTAATTCGGATTAAATATAATCAAAAGAAGTGTCAATACTTACTCTCGTCAGCGCGCATTTTGTCAGCGGTGCGTTGGTTGTAGGAGGGGGCGGGCTGAGGGGCGGAGTCGGGCGCGGCCCACGAGCCGCCCGCCGCGCCCGCGCCGCTTGCACTAGCGCCCGACCCGCTACACTCCGAGAACAGCGGGCTCATGCCGCTGTTGCTGCTGGAATGAGTGGTGCTATCGTTACTTATCGATTACATACGCTTGACGGTATATAAGAACGGACGTACTGCAAACCGAATTAGTCTCTTCAAATCATCGATTACGCTCGTTTGGACAACCGCATTCGCACGTGTTACGAATTGCATCAGTGGCAGTACAATACAGTACAGTTGCAACAGGAATAAATCCTTATACAAAATGTAAAAATACTGTATCCATTGATTAGTGTTTGTGTTTTGTACGGTTTTGTTACGCCATTTTTTTACAGCCTACTTACATTAATCATATGTATCTTCAAACGATGATACTAGAACCCTAAACGGAACAAAAAGACATATTATAAATCAATAATAAAACTAACCTGCTACCACCAAATTCAGTGTACGGTGACGCATACTCCATAGGACTTGGAAGTTGTTGTCTTTGTTGGGAGTATGGTGTGTTCGCCATAGTATTCACGTACGAAACGGCAGATTCTTGCGACTCCTGTACAAAAATATGCTAAATTAATGTACTATTTACATAACTTACGCAGAAGGCCCAATAAAAAAAAGCTATTTATCTAATTCTACTTGTTTCAGTGTTTTAAACAAAGCGAATGCATCAATCAACTCAATGTAGAACTGGGAAGGCTACTAAATAAACATTTGAGTTAATGCAATTTATCTATCTTGTAGGATGTCTTCAGTCGACGTGCTGTGAAAAGCAAGGTTGGGCAGAAGGCCAGTTCTCGTACGAGGGGAGGTCCAAAAGTTCGTGGAATGGAGGGGATGGAGTGGGGATAGGGGCGCTCGCTTAGTGTCATACTATTTGGAGACTCATCATTAGTATATAAATTAAGTTTCAGCCCTATTGCTTCATTCGTATACGAATATTCGCTTGCTAAACAAGTCTACCCGTAGGAAAACTGAAACTATGGAGAGAATTGAACACCGTGCTGTGATAAAATTCCTTACCGAGCAAGGAAAGAACGCTCAGACCATTTTAAATGAAATGCAAACCGAAGGCCAGTTGAGGCCACCACATCAAACATCGTCAAAAAAGTAGAAAAAATTGTACTGGGAGGACACCCGTTTGAAGAAAAAACAGTTATCTGCATTAGTTGGAGTATCAGATACCACAATTTTGCGAATCCTACATGACCACCTGGGTATGACAAGACAGTGCAAGATGGGTACCGAGAATGCTCACGTCGCTTCAGAAACAACAGCGCGTGGAGGCGTCAAAACAACTTTTTGGAGTTGTGTGGAGACGAACCTGGACAGATTTTGGTACCGGAGAAGAAAGATGGGTTCATCACTTCGAGATTGAGTCCAAACAAGAGTCCATGCAATGGCATAAAAAGGTTACACCACCGCCAAAAAAATTCAAAGTGTCGGAGTCGGCTGGAAAGTTGATGGCTACTGTTTTTTGGAATTGTGAGGGGATAATACTCATTGATTACAAAGAAAAGGGAAGGACCATAACCGGAGAATACTACGCAACGATACTAGAGAAATTAAAGGAGGTCATCAAAGAAAATCGTCGAGGAAAATTGACCAAGGGTGTGTTGCTCTTGCAAGACAACGCGTCGGTTCACAAGAGCAGAGTTGCAATGGTTGCTCTGCATAAGCATGGCTTAGAAATGGGGATGGTTTAGAAAAATTATTTCATAGATCTAATAAATGTATTCTAGCTTAAGGGTGATTATATTGAAGAGGAAAAATAGATTTATTGTTTCATTTTATTTAAAACCTTTTCATTCCACGAACTTTTGGACCTCCCCTCGTAATTAACGTTCGGTCTCAATTCAGTTCCGATCAACTTTCGATTTCACAACTGTCATAAAAGGTATTTTCTTAGTAACGTATTTAACATCCAGCGTTCACTGTAACGTGATTATATCGTATTATAACTGAAAATTGAATCGGTAATCTGCTAGTCTTAATAATACTTTACTACGAAAATACTTTTTATGACAGTTGTGAAATCAAAAGTTGATCGGAACTGAATTGTGACCAAACTTTTATTACGAGAATTGGCCTTCTGATTGAAATCAGAACCAGACTAGGTTCACTGCTCCCTAGAGCTTATACCCGAAGGTTGTGCCCGGCAGCAGCAGGCGCTAGGAGGGAGAATTACCTGTGAGTCATCCGTGAGTACACCCTTGAATATTTCATCGACATCGTTACTGTCCATATCGGGAAGGCCATCGCGTACCATAGCGTCCAAGTTAACCCCCAGCAGAGACAAGTCATCCTTGGGTGATATTGTCGATGCTTGCGATGATCCACCAGTTTCTGTTCAATTAAATCAAGGTATAGTGTAATGGTAATGAAAAAAATATAAAACAGTCTTATCGTGAATTTATATATCATGAAGCGCAAAAAGGAGTTCGACATAAAATTGTAAGATGAAGGATTTAATAATACTAGTGTTAATTATTATTTTGAGAAATAATATTACTAAATAATAATAAAAGCTATTGACGAGCGTCAACAGCTATTAAAAAAAAAGAAAACAATTGACGGCTGGAGGAAAATATGATATGAAACTCTTTTTTTAAGCTCAAATTAAAGAAATTGCACAAACCACTGCCAATAGGTTCAGTTTTCGTACTATGCACGGTGGGTATACCCTCGGTAGCAATGGTTGAAGGTTCCGATTCAGCAGACTGTGGTCCTAAGATAGCGTTCTTCAGTGCAGTAGAATCTTCTGTATGCTTCAGATTACCATCATCAATTTCTGATTTTATTTTAATGGAGCCATCGGCATTGGTAGATGTATTATCCTTTTCGTCTTTTGGTTTAAGTGCGTTCAGAACTTCGATTTCTTCCTGTACACCAAGTTACAATCACAATTTAGAATAGTTAATACATTTGTGTTGTTATCACTGTGTCGCACACAAATAGAAAGTTGCGTATTCTCTAACTGACAGAAGCACAATATGCGTAGGTTATGACCGTAGGATGGGCTACGAGTCTATGAGGGTAAATCCGTAATTTTCTTTTATTCCACAGATGAAATAAATGTCGGATAAAAATAAAAAGTTAGTGCATATAGTTAAGTTTCATTAGTCGTCCACTCTAGGGAATTGAAGAAAAAATGGGGATGTTTGCGAAATGATATAAAAAGTAAAATTACTAGCGGAAAGAGAGATAGCCCGTGTGGAGATTATGGAGCGTCATCACCCTTATTTATAACGTGGATGTCGTAGACAACAGCAACACAAGACAACAGCACTGCCAAGAGAAGAGAACTTGAAACAAACGCTATACCAAACCGTCTGGCCAGCGTGGTATAGTAGGCCGAAACCTCATTTCTAAGGAGAGGTCTATGTAATAATAATAATAATAATAATAATATGATTTATTTCACAATATGGCACAAAAATACATAAACAGCGTAACAAACACGATATTCACAGTATTTACGATAAACTCTGGTACCCAGAATAAGATTCAACTTGTGTTTAGGGTACCAGCAATCTAGCGCACACCATAAAAATACGTCGCTAATACTTGTTAGACATACACAGCGTTTATATAAAAACAAAATACAAAACTAATAGACAAATAAGAAAAATATATAAATGGTAGAATAAATAAACTTAGGTGGAATGTGGATGCCCGTGTGTGTGTGTGTATTTGTGTGTGTGTGTGTGTGTGCGCGTGTGTGTGTGTGTGTGTGTAGGTTAGCTGTGTTTATACGTTGCAGTGATTGTACATATCGGTGAGTGTTATGTATCTGGTATGTCCATATTTGCAGGAAACATATAAATATAGGCACAAGTCCAAAGTCTTAGGATCCACATCGTATCAAATCCTCGGTCGCTCCATAATCAAGTGTCAACAACCACTCAGACACGGTGGCTTTACACTTATTACGACACATGGGAGCAATGGCACATAACTTATTTATTTTATTGTACAAATGATTAGACACGTAAGTATAATTACGCTGTGCGAGCTTCGTTCTGCATTTTTGTTGCGCTGGACATACATTGAAGTATCTGCGTTTGCTGATGTACAACAGAGAACTATTAATGAGTGTTGATGATAGGTGATAAGTGGAAAGATCTGAAACCTTTAAAAACCCTTAATGCAAATAAATATTCATTAACCCTCATAACGCGCTTTCAATGAGAACTGGTTATTATCGAGTTACATACCGTGTTGAGTGATATAACGACAGAAACGTCGTGATCGTTAAACGACGTCAAAGCGGACAATACGTCCTCGCCATCACTGTCTGAATTCTCAATGTCCCACTTGAAATCTCGCAACTCGCGGTATCCTTCTGGGGTCGCTGGCCTAACCGTAGCGCCCGGACTTTCGCCTGGGTTGGAAGCTGGATCAAATTTAAAAATAAAACAAATTTTTATATATAAAGTTTTGTAGCAGTAGCAGAAATTAATAACAGTTTTTAAGTATGATCTTTCATATGGTCATTAAGTCTCCTAGTTAGTCTCGTTTTCAAGTTCCTGGTTCCAGGTACTAGTACTACTAGTATACTATACGTCTATCTACCTAACGGAAAATGGAAAAAGGGTTAATAACAGCATCATAAGTAAAGTTTTATCTATTCTTATTTTGTTGCACGTTGTTATATAATTATGTTGTTCTTTTAACATTGTTTTATTATGATTTTCTTACCGGTTGAACTGACGACAACCCTGTTGGGCTCCAATAGATCTTTACCGAAGAATGCCTCTTGCATATATGAAGGAAACTGCTCCATCAGTTTGGAGCGGGGCTTCCGACGAGGCTTGCGTTTGTTGCTAGGTGACTCTGTCAAATGAAAAAGATTGTCAATTTTTGAGAATATACATGGAATATATTCAACTTCCTATCAAAATAAAATCTGAGAGGAACTATGAAAAAGTCTTGTTGTTAAGGTGTTGTGTTACACTAAATTTATTTTAGTTCCTCAGGAGAAAAGAAGGAACCCCCCCATACCTGTTTATCAGTCTGTCAAGACCCTTTTTCTCAACGCAACATTTGGAGTTATCAATTGAAATGAACATCAAATGTTTATCAAGCCTCTAAGTTAAATTAATCCAAAGAAATTTAATTTAGCCTCTATATTTCAATAACAATCAACACTTCGCAAGTAAATCAAAACCTATAGGATTCTTCCTTGAACCTTAAATCATGAACTGGACGAGAAGTAATGTCAAGGAAACGGTTTAATCAAATTAGACTCACACTTGGTCGGGTCATTATAGCCTAATTTAGTAATCGAATATCAAAATCTGGACTATGAACAAGTAACATCTATCACGTTATATCTTGAACTGAATATTATTGAAAAAACTATTATAATTTTTTATCCTAGCTCACCTCCACATCCCTGGGTTCCATCTGCTTCCTTGTCGTCATCAGCTTGCGCTTTAGCGTTAGTCTGTCTCTGTCGCACAACAAACCCGCCAATACCGAGCTTATTCAAATTTCTTTGTCGCTTTCTACGCAACACCGTAAGACCCGAATCCGTGGTGTATATAGTGAAACCTTCAGGAGGAGGCCCATCGTTGGCAACGTTCCAAAGAATCCCTTCTTTGAAATTTGTGTTGGAGTTTACACCTATAGAAAAGAATCGATCACATTGCACTACGCATCTCATACAAAAACTTAATTTTATGTTTATCTAATGAAAGTCATTGAAACTCCGTAAAAATCCAAGAAACGTTTTATGTTTTTAAATGTTGTAATAATCTTCTGCAAAACTAAGAAGAGGAAGTTATAGTGCCTGTTGGTTAAGTTAGTAATGCCAAAAAAGGAAAGTTGTGTTTGTTGTTCAGTAAAATATTTTGGGACCGTTTCTTAAATTGTTTATATTGTATAATCACTTGCACAACAACTATAATCTACAATGTGATAGACCAAACTCACTCTTAACATGATCACTGTAACATGTAACATGATCATGAATGGGGAACTATTCAAATGACTTAATATATTTGTACCATTAACAATTATTCTTTATGTTTGTTACAGTTATAATAACAATAAATAAGAAATGAAAATATATTATCTAGTAGATAGCTATACACTCAAACTTTGACTACAACGTGACTATCTGAATTTGTTTCTGCTAAAACTTTAATCATCAATGTCATAACAATAATCAATATGAATAACTACGAAAAGACTATATACCTATTAATTATACAAATATATTAATTTATATTGATAGACAATAAACATAAATAATATATGTATAACTATATTGTAAGCAAGGAAATTATCTAAGCAAAAAGTCCTTCTCATTTTGAGACATGAACTTATGTTTCATGTTTCAGAATACTTTTATTTGTATTTTATGGATTCTCATCAATCACCAAATCATTATCCGCCTTATTTGTGAATATAACGGTGAGTAAAATATTGTTAGATTGTTAAACCATGCAAACATGTTGTGCACCCACAACCAAGTAAGCATTACCGACTTTATGGAGATGGTCACCATCAAAGTACAACTATTATTATTAAAAGTTTGTAAGAAAATATCAAAGACGAAATAATAACAGAGACCTGTTCTAAATGTATGTGATGATAATATGAAATAATAGGTGTTATAAATGTTGTTCAATAACTGTTAAATATTGATGAAGATGCTCACCAGGCTCTTCTTTCAGTTCAGCAGTGCTGTCCGGCTTGGAGTCGTCAGCCATCTCGACGTCTGCATTCTGAACCACTGTTTCAATAGATGCCATTATTTCTAATCCACAATGCCAGCGTCGAACAACAAAAACTGGTGTTAGATACACATCTTACATACATACATACATACTAATATAAATCATATATTACTAATAGAAGTAAGATGGTATTGTTAATTGTTTGAGCTAGTCTTTAGGCACCTAATAATTTAGAATTGGTGCTAGGACCACAAACAATTTACTTTTGTTGTTAACAATAAAAGTAAGTAGAAATAAATTTATTTAAATTAAAGTGTGTGTTCAGAGAGACTTTGTAATCTATGTGTGTATATATGATGTGCATTTTAATACTTGATATGTTAAAATATATTTTTTTGCAATTATGTTATACTGCTGATATCTGTGGATTCGATGTGTAGTGGATTTCAAATAATAAGAAACATAAATGAAATTATCTTGCATAAGCCTAGGATATTTTTATTTTTTCTACTCATTTAAGGTATTTAAATCAGTACTTAATACAAAATTCTTTCTCATAATATAAGTCGTACGTCGCGTCATGTGCTAAATGGAGCAATGTTTGTTTTAATTATTAAAAATATAGTTTATAGTATTAAAAATATAGTAATTACAACATAACTGGGTAATTGTTTTATTTGAATTGTTTTCTATTTTATATCTTTTTAGTGAATTTATTTAAATGTTAATTTAATTTTTATAAACTATTTAAAAATAAGTACGACCTGATTCAGTCACGATAAGCATACTTAACCAAATGGTTAACTGGTGTGTGTCTTAACAATATATATATATCTAAATAACAAATAAAATAAATAGACAGAGCAGTAGCAGTAGTAGTGCGGAGCATTCACCTGCGTCCTTGTCGGTGTTGTCGTTCTTGAATCGTCGCTTGCGGCGCGTGTGCGTGATGCCGAGGTCGGCCTCGAGCTGCTTCATGTGGTGCGCGCCGCGCTGCGAGAGACACACGTCGTCCACGTAGTACTCGCCCGCCAGCCCCAGCGACAGCGGCGTGGGGCGCGGCGCGGGCCGCAGCACCGCGGCCGGCGCCGGGCCCGGGGCCGCCTCCAGCGCGCGCTGCACGTGCGGCGGCGCCACGTCGCGCCCTCGGCACAGCACGCACTTGTAGCTGCGCACCGCACCGCACACGATCAGAACGCTTCGCTCGCATTACATTTATTTTTCGACCCGATTATCAAAAATTGAAATTGTACCCACCCATATCGTCTCGCTATGTTAGGTACTTCATATAAGAGTTAACGTTTATTTCGTTCAAATTTTTTTTATGCAACAGGGACAAACGTCTCATACGTCTGCAACTCACGAGTCGGTTTTCTGTGAGGCCATGAAATCACCCTGAGCCGGCTCGATATGCCAAAGCGTGGCTTTCCGACGGCTCTCTTATCCTTTCAAAGTAATCGAAAGAAGTAACCTCACACAATAGAACGTTAAATGAAACATACAGTTGGAATATACTAGGATGAATCTTTTTTCTGGAAACTATACAGGTCGTTTAGGAGCATAAGGTCAGGCATAAAGGCGCAAAATTACAATGGCTATTCGTAAAATCTTTAGTTATAAATTTTATTTATAATTTGTCGTTTTGTTAATGTTTCACTTACCCAGCACGACAACAAATTTCGGCATCGCTTTCACTTCGTATATTGTCGCAGGAGGCGTGCAGCCAGCGCCTGCACCCTTCGCACTGTATGATGAGTTCTCCGTCTGAGTACGGCTCCGAGCACACGCAGCACATCACCAGCGAAGCACACGGGGCGCACTCTGGCAATGGTTAACGATCGAGCATTTATTATATCGATATCATAATGGTAGAGCCGATTTATTCTAATTTTAAAAGACATGTTATTTAGGGTTTGGAATCTAGATAACTGATGGTACATCGACGCCGACGTACCTGTATAGTTGTCGCACCAGGCGAGCGTGTCCCGCGTGCCGCAGGTGAGACAGCGGCGACAGCGCTCGCAACGCCAAGCGCCGCGAGGTACGTCGGCGAGCTGCGGACGCGCACAGTACGTGTGCCACGTGGTGTCGCAGTCGTCACACAGTAGAAGTAGGGTTTCATCGCCCCGCGCGCCGCAGCCCTCGCACACCGTGCAGTCAAGGCAGCGCCAACCCAAAGTCACTATTACTTGAGATACCTGCACGTACATACTAATTACTTAAAAACACTTGGAGTGGAAAGATTATTACATGTTAACCACAATAACTCATCATCATTTATATTCTTTATTTGATTTTGGAATGCATACCAAGAGTACATTTATATCTCACCTTGATATTAACACAATAAGGATGATAAGTCTGTCCACACTGTGCACACGCGATAAGACATCCTTCAGAGTCCGTTCCGATAGCGCCACACATAACGCACAGATCTTGTGTCAGAACGAATTTGTCCTTACTCGAACAAAGAACTAATTTGTTTTCCACACCTAAAACACCAAGGGACATTTTTTTTATTTCTAAAAACAAAAGATCTTAGGTAAAGTACATTTACCTAAAGTTTGAAGAAGTACGAAACAAAGTTGATAAAATCCCAGAATCTTAAATAGGATGATTATTTCCCAGGATTTACAATACAACCGTTTAAAGTATCACATACTCTTTCAATTCTCTTAATTAAGTAATATATTGATAAATGACGTTAATCGTAAATCGGGAAAAAATTATAAAATAATCAAAAATGTCAAAATCATGAATAATCTAAATTGTCAAAAATTTTAAATTTTCAAAATACCAAATAATTAATTTGTCAAAATATTTTAAAATGGTGAAACAATTAATAATTAAAACCTTAATATTAATGTCACTTACAAATACTTAATTATAAATAACTAATTTAAATCGAAATTTATCATTCAGTAAATCTATTGTAGAGTAGTATGCTTTGTCAATAAGTAATTTTAAGAGATTGCTTTTAAATTCATTGATATTTTTACGGTATTTATTGATGTCTGATTTATTTGTTGAGGTAAATGATTGTATGTCATTTGGTGCCATTGCGTTAACACTTATATGTAGAAGTGTTGTTCTGGCTTTTAATAAGTGCAATTTGTCACGTTAACTTTCTACGACGTTAACTTTCTATAAAATAAAATAGAAAATGTATTTCTCACGAACATGCAGACTTCATAAATGTACATAGATGGAAATGTCAATAGTCTTACTTTACGAAAGTATGGCTTACATGCATCGGTGCTTTTTAGTTTACACATAGCTCGGCAACATTTCTTTTGAGCTATAAACACGTCGTCCATTTTTGTCTTATTTGAAAATTGATAAATTTTGTTTTCGACAGAATGATTTTTAGGTTATTAGCATTTAAGAAATGTATAATGTCTACAATACTAGTGTTTATTTCGTGTCTATTTTATTTAATGGTACATGACTGTACTATCATGGGCAAATAAAGACATTTGATGTTTCGTAGTGTGAGGAAAATCGTTTATGTAACAGAGAAAAAGTAATGGGCCCAAAACACTTCCCTGTGGCACGCCGTATTTATTTTTTCTAGCATTTGATGAATATGCTTCCTCAGTTTTCGATTTGAAGTTTACTGAATTTATCTGTGTTATTTGATTTCTATCTTTTAAAAATGTTTGTATCAAGTCAAGAACATTGCCTTTAATCCCGTAATTATACCTTTTTTTTATTAATATGTTTTGATCCACGTGATCAAAAGCTTTTGTCATATACTATGACATTACTGGTTTACGGTTATCTAAATTTATATATAAATATTATTATGTTATTTAGAAATCCATATATAGCCATAGTAAGTATGTTTTTATAAAACCCATCTGTTCCTTACATATAATGTTATTGTTCACGTTGCTGTAAATGTTTTCTCAAAATTATTAGAAAAGACTGGTAGCAACCTACAGGTCTGTAGTTACCCATTTCTGTTCTTGAGCCCTTTTTAAACAGAAGTTTTACGATTGATGTCTTTAGCTTGTCCGGAAAAGTACCGCTTTGAATACAATCATTTAGGATGTCAGTTATTAAAGGTGCTATTATAGTACCTGCAGATTTTACTATGCTCGTGTGGATTTCATCGTACTGTTCATCGCCTGTACTGACGGTGTTTTTTAAATTAAAGGGGTATTTAAATGAAGATGTAGATATGAGCTTACCTGAGAATGTGCTATGTTCGTAAATACTAAACAAATAGATCAAATACGGTAAGAAACATTACACCAAAATAGTCATTCCATAAGGAAAGATTAAAAGTGCAATTTGTAAGTAAGTTAAATGTTCATATGCTACAACAAAAAACTTCACCAAGGGCAGCTTACCCGGGTCATCTTCTTGAGTTTTATTATCAGGTGCCTGAGGCCTCTGAAGACCTAGCCCTGGTACTCCAAACACACCCCGCATCTTTGGCTTGGACCCTCTCTTACGTCCAAAATCGAGCATGTTGCGTTGACGTTTTGAGAATCCTACTTTGCCCGCTGGAGGGAACCCGCCCTTCAACTTGTATCCGCCAATTTTTTTCTTCGCCACTTTTGATGAAACAGAAAACGGTTTGCCTTTTCCAAGTCCGACGTCAGGCTATAAGGAAAAAACATTTTTTTTTTTGTATATTTCGAACATTCAATATCGTTCTTACACATTTCTTAGAAAGTGTATGAAAATTTAATTGTAACATTCGTAGATGGATAATACCAATTAAATTGCTACGAAGTTACTTATTTTTGATTACATGTTTATGATTTTCGGAAACAGAATACAAATAATTTAACTGGTAGAAAAAGGTTTTATCTGATGTGTGATGTGTTTACACAGTTTGTGTTTCAAAAGTATTGCCCACAAGTTAATTTATAACAGTTACCTTTGCTTCAATTGCAAGAGGGTCTTGTTCTTGTTGTGAGTTTTCATCACCAAATGAAGAGTCTTGGGATGTTGATGCCACAGTGTCGTCATCGAAAGCTGTCAGGAATAACGAAAAATGTTTTATAGCTAAACTGTTAAGTACACAATCCAAAGTCTCAAATTTACAAGGATCTTAGTATTGTATGGGGTCTACCAATAAGAACTTCCTGGTTTAAAAATTGAACAAAACATATTTTTTTATGAAAAATGCATCCGATTGATTTATTTGATAGATAATTTTATGCAATTTATGTTTTAAATAATATATCGGCCAAATGACCGCCGCGGCTCTTTTTGCAGACGGTCGGGTGACCGCCAATTTTCGATGACGCGGTGCACCATTTCGGCCGGTATGTCGGCTATGGCTCGTCTAATGTTGGTTTTTAGGTCACGAATTGTAGCTGGATTATTGCTGTACACTTTAGATTTAACGTAACCCCAAAGAAAATAGTCTAAAGGTGTTAAATCACACGATCTTGGTGGCCAACTGATCGGTCCATTTCCCGAAATTAACGACTCACCAAACTTTCCACGCAATAATTCCATGTTCACTCGAGTAATGTGAGGTGGTGCACCGTCTTGATGAAAATAAAGGTCGTCTGCATCAATATCATCAAATTCCGGAAAGAAATATTCGGTTAACATCGAGTTATAGCGCTCGCCATTCACAGTAACAGGGTTTCCTTCGTCACTTTCAAAGAAGTTCCAAGCGTTGGTTTAAAGTGAAACGTGACATGATAAAATGGCAAACCTTACTGAACACAAATGTCAAGAGACATCAAAGATCCATCATCAAACATGGCCGCTATGAGCTGTCAAAACCAGGTCATCTCTATTGGTAGACCCAGTAAATGTCGCACCCCATGGTTTCGTAGCGAACAAATAATTAGTGTAAAAGAATTACTATACTTACATCCAGATTTTGAGCCAGTCAATGGCATTTGACTCTTGCAAATTGGACAGTTGTATTCGTACGATGCATTCTGGTCTTTCCTCAGTCTATATTGAGTCGGTTCTGCGTCGGGATCACACATACCGTGAACATACCTGAAAGCGGTGGCACATTTTTTTTGTTAAGGCGCAAGTCGAAGTCGCCGCTGGTAAAGTAAAGGCGTCTATAAGATTACAATACTGTTTAATTACACCATGAGTATTGAAAATGGGTAAGCTATGAGTTACCTCTTGCAGAGCACACATCGGATCATATCGCGGTAGGCGGCGGCGCGGTATGCGCGCCTACACAGCGGACAGCACGAGCCTTTGTTCCGCTGTTGGTAGCACGAGTCACACACCGTGTAGTGCGCGTGCCAACGAGACGAGGGGCCGGCGCCCGGCGACCGCGACCCGCAGTCTGAGCACACGCGGCAGCACTGTATACAACAAATTACATATTACGTACTTGTAAGGCTCACATTACAACATATACATATTTAATTATTAACCATATTATCAGTAGTTAACTTTTGCAATGTTATTATTGTTTGTATTGACTTAATGAATTTTAACAGTACCTAATTTAATTTAATCAATTTTCATTAATTTATTTACTTCTAATTTGTGTAATAGTAATTTCTGATTCAAAATGTTATGTTTGACTCTTAATGCAGGCTGTGATCTTCTGTAATTAAGAATACACCAGATCAATAATTTATTATTCTCTGTGAATGCTATGTGATATTCTTGTTGAAGATCCTTAAATAAATAAATAAATAAATATACAGGGTGTAAGGGATATCGTAACGAATACTGAAATAGTGTATTCGGACTATCATTCTGAGTCGAAAATCATTGGAATTTTCTGCAGGAAAACTATAAGAATATTTCTTGTTGTGCTTGTTACTACATGTTTTAGTAAACCAAAGATATCATACTATTCAAATAAGTTGATCATAGTTTAATATATACATTCAATAGCTGTCTCCTAAAGGGAATAATATTTTCTTGTTTTTGCTTCCTTTTTTAATGATGCTCGATTCCTATTGGGGGTCGCATGATGTTATATAGCCTTCCTTAATAAATGGGTCAACCAACACTAAATATTTTTTTGATTCGAACTAGTATTTCTTGAGATTAGCGCGTTCAATTAAACAAACTCTTAAGTTTTATAATATTAGTATTAACTTCAGGATATAATATATTTACTACTCATAGGCACATTTATCAATCATAGCCTATTTTGGCACCAATAGTAAGAATAATTACATACCTTACACTTCCAGCCATACTTAGGTACCGTCGCCATGACCGGTCTAAGACAAGTGGCATGGTACACTTTGTCGCAATGTTCGCAGGTGACCGCCCGCGACTCGTGGCCAGTGGGAGGAGCGCTCGTCATGGTCGTCTCGCCGCGGCAAACTTGGCATACGCGGCAAGCACGACATGACCAGCCGGACCGAACGCCTACAAATACATATTTATCAGTTTCGAATTCCAAAGACAAATAATTAATGAACCTTTCATTTAACGTTTGGACCATCTATAATTTCAGTTTGTAGACACCACAGTGTGACACCACAGTTAATGTTTTTGATCAAAATATATAAAACTACCAACCAGGTAGTTGCGCCAGGCCAACGCAGGTACCATGGTAGTGAGCGCCGCAGGTCACACATGTCATGAGGTTCGCAATGTCTCCGATAGTTCTACAGGTCCTACAATCTATGTCGGCAGTACCTAAAGGCAAATAAAAGCAATAATTTAAAAAAAAACATATTTACTAAACGTGCCTAACATATAAAAAACCTTTTTCAAATGTTTTAAGCCTAACTCGTTTCTGAATGAATCATTCTTTGCCAGCTCATTTATTACAAAATATGGAAAAGTTATTACATACTACAAATAAAAGACTTTTTAAAGTGGTATCTGTCGAAAGTTATTGATTGTTAAATTAATCTCCACTAATCAACTTCCGTGTGGTGACGGATTAAGAACACAGAATGTAACCACCCCTATTCATCCCGTGGGTGTCGTAAGAACCGACTAAGGGAGCAAACTGCGCGAGGCAGCAGCACTGCAAAGTGAAGGATAACTTGAAAAAAAAACCCTATATCAACCCGTCTGGCCAGCGTGGTATAGTAGGGCAAAACCTCCTTTCTAAGAGGCCTATGTCCAGTAGTGGACTGTTATAGGCTGTTGATGATGATGAAACAACTTGAAGGCATACCGAAGATAAGTCTATCAGGTCTTTGCTTTGTTTTGATTGACGTCAAATGTTCGACAGCTAGGGACAGGTGTTTTAATTTACTCTGTGGTTTGAATGAGAAAAGACAAGTATTGTTTTTCTTCTTGCAATTTTTTTATTTTTCTTTGCCCATAAAACAGATTACCCTTAATAGATTCGGCATAAAGGGAATCACAGGCGCGCAACACATACTTGCTGTAGCTAGCATCTGTGACGCTAAGAATCACGACTGCACGAGTATCGATAGTGTTGTGATTTATAGTTCGATATTGGTTTGGTCATCCTTTGAATATATATTTTAAGTCATTGTTTCGTACGAGAAGTGGCGTATCATTATGGTATAATGTTATTGGTTTCTAAAAGTGTCCCTAAAGAAAAAGATGTGGATTAACGCAACTTGTCGAGGGGACGACTTCCTACCAAAAATAGTGTGATATGCTCTAAACATTTCACAGAAGACAATCTTCATATTATGAAAAACCGTAGAAGGCTGTTAAAATACAAGGAAGACAGATCCTAAGGATTCCGTGAAACGTATTTATACTAAGCTCATCCATTAAAAAATCAGTGAAATATATAATTTAAAATCAAATGTAGAAATCTGTGCCCTCTGTGATGAATGATGTACGTCGAGTTCTAATATTTTTGGGATTATTCACCGACTTCAAAAAGGAGGAGGTTATCAATTCGGATGTTTATATATTTTTTTAAGTTAGGGGTTTTCCAACAAAAGGTGTTATTTTGAATCACCCGGTATTTCGGTAGCTGTCACTTTTGAAGCTTTTATTTTTTGACATTTGATGCCGGATGATGATGACAGCACGATGGGCCTATAGGCCGCGACCGAATCGGCTGGCCGTCCCGGCTTCCTCAATAGGACCAGCTTCCCGCTTTTCCAGCACTCAGGGAAGCGTCCCGACGCCAAGCTAGCGTCGAACACCTCCCCGAGGCGGTCTGCCATGTGGTTGAGGGCCAGGGCCAGCACTCGGGCCGGTACCCCGTCTGGCCCAGGGGCGGTGTTCTTGGAACGGATCCGTAGAACAGCCGCCCCTACCTCCGAATCCCGGACGGGCGGAACATTGTCCTCCCCGTGCTCCCCGTCGTCTCCGGCCAGGGAGGCCATCGACGGGGGAGTGTGTTCCGCTCGTTGTGGGAAAAGGCCCTCAACCACTTCTCGCAGGAAGCTGGGCTGGAGAGTCTCCGTAAGGGGGGGGCCCGACGCGCGGAGCTTTTGTCGCACCGCGCGGTAAGGGCGACCCCAGGGGTCACGATTAAGACCCTCCAGCATCTCCTGTCTCTTTTCCTCTTTGGCGCGGCTAATGGCCAGCTTCAGAGTTTTCCGCGCCCGCCGGTACTCCTCATGAAGCCGGTCCTCCTCACCGTCTCCACGGTGACGCCGCCGACTGCGTGTGTAGGACCTCCGGGCACGTGTACAGGCCGCACGGAGGTCCGCCAGCTCCTGGGACCACCAGTAGACCTCCTTCCTTGGAGGCCGACGACCTCGAACGCGGGGCATGGCCGCATCGCATACATGCGTAATCGCATCGCGAAAGCGGCCCGCCCCCACGTCGACCTCCTCGGTCGGAGCCTGAGGAGACAGCCACGAGTGAATTATGGCTGCCTCCTCTAGTAGGTCCCGGTTCAGCCTGGCAACAGCCCACCGCGGAAAGCGGGATAAACGCCGCGCCACGTGACCCCTACTGGAGTCCTGGGTCCGGGAGAGCTCAAATCGGATATACAGGTGATCCGAGAGCGTCTCAACCTCTTCCAGGACACGCCAGTTCCTTACTCGTGCGGCGAGGGCAGGGGTAGCGAACGAGAGGTCCACTATCGACCCCCCCTGCTGTCGCACGCACGTGTTGGTGGAGCCTCTGTTTAGAAGACAGAGGCCCACCGAGGCCGCCCACTCCTCTACGGCCTCGCCCCTGGCGTCCGTCCTGGGGGAACCCCACGCAATGGACTTTGCGTTGAAGTCCCCCAGCACAAGGACGTGCCCAGACGCTAGTCGCCGTATCGAGGTCTCCAAGCTGATTAGGAAAACCTCGAAGTCGTTCAAACTCCGGCTGGGGGAGAAATAGACACCATATATGGTGATCCCCCCCCACTCGACGGCAACATATCCAGTGCCCTTGTCTCTTAGCGACAAGGGCGGGGAATGAGCCGTCGTGGAACCGACGACTGCCACGGAGCCGTCCCAGTCACCCATCCAGTTTGGACGGGGAGGGACAGAATAGGGCTCCGCGACTACGGCAACACCTATCGACCACTGTGCCATGGTTTGCAGGAAGAGATCCTGCGCCGCGGCACAGTGGTTCAGGTTCGTCTGGACCAGGAGGTTGGAGACTTGATCCATTACTGGATCGTCTCTACAACCTCCTCCATGGGCGACGACGTCGACGCACGAACTACATCGGAGGCAGCCTGGGTCGACTGGCTAACCCCCGACGTCTGCCGAGAACTGCGGGGAGGCTTGCAGCCTCTCTGCCCCATCTGGTGATTGGCGGGCTTATTGCCCGCCGCACACACTGGGCAGTGAGGGGCGGCAGAGCATTCTGCCGCCTTATGCCCCGGTTGACCGCAGCGGAAACACAGTCCGCCGCAGTCAAAACAACTGTCGCACTTGACGCGCGTGTGTCCCGATGCCAGGCATTTGTAGCATCTCATCGGTCTCGCCGCCAGGACTGTGATCCTGGCGCTCACGAAACCGATGAGCAGCCTGCCGGCGTCGGCCAATACTTTGGCCGACGCTACGGGACAGCTGACCCACACGGCGCCAAGCCCTCCTGGACCGGGGCGGATGGTGCCGACCCTGACGTTGTCCGCGCTGCACCCCGTCTTCTCCCGGATTACAGCGCGGACATCTTCGGCCGTCACTGAGTCGTCCAGGCCCGAGATGCGCAGTTCCGCGCACTTGGTAGGCCTGGCGACCCTGACACCATCTGTGGCTGCAAATATTCCCCGCAGCTTCTCAGCGAAGGAGTCCGCCGTCTTTGCGCCTTCAGCCCCAGGGAACTCGAGAACTCGAGCTCCCGTCTGGGCGAGGCGCATCCTGACCCCCACCGTTCCGAAGTCGTTGGCGAGGCTGTCCCGGGCCTTTTTGAAGACGGCCGCGTAGGACAGCCCGCCGTCCGCCGCCTCCGGGGACACGGTCACCACTACAGCCGCGGTTTTGGGCGGCTGCAGCTTCCGCGGCCTCTTTGTGGAGGCCGTTGCCACCGGTGGCGAAGGCTGGGCCTGGGCTGCTTTTTTGGCAGCCTTTTTGGCCCGCCTTCGGGACTTCTTGGAGCCCCTCGCCTCCTGCCAACCCTCGTTGGAGGGGGCAGGTGCGGAGGGGCCCGGCAGGGGTGTCGGAGTGGGGAGCGGAGGGAATGCCACTCCGCTCCTCGGCGCCGTTTTAGGCCCCGTCTTGGCCGGCGCCTGGGGATGTGCCTTGGCCGGCGCCTTAGCCGGTGCCTTGGCCGGCGCCTGGGCCGGTGCCTTGGCCCCCCTCCTCGGCTTTTGGGGCGCCGATGGAGTCGGGGCAGACGCCGCCGCCGCGTAGGAGACGCGGCCTCCCACTACGGGCAGCGCGGTCGGAGCGGCGGCCTTAGGCCGCTGTGCCGACGCGAGCGGGGGGCGCATACTCGGCGCAGGGGGCAGTCTCGCCTCCAGGCCAGCCAGGCGTCCGTCCAGCATATTCCCAACTGCGATGAGGATTTCTCGCAGTTGGGAGTCAAATGCCCCTGAGTTGGTGGTAGGGGCAGGCTGGGACGCGGACGGGGCTTCCCGCTCGGGGAGGTTCGCCTGGAAGCGGGCGAACTGAGCGCTCAGCTCGTTCACCCGCTCCGTCAGCTTCTCGTTGGCCACCTGCAGGCGAGAGACGTCGCCCGCTAGGCCCTCCACGACCTCCGACAAAGCGGAGGAGGAGTCCTTAAGGGCCCTCACAAACGAGCCCTTAAGGTTCACGGATTTGGTGGCCACCTTGTTGATGACGGCCACCGCCGCTTTCGCCCTCTCCTGCACGGACACGGGAGCCTGGGGGGCATTTCCCCCCACCGGCTCCCGAACCTTGAGCAGGAGATCCGCGATCTCCTCCTCCGCTACGGCCTCGCCGTCCACCCGTACACTTCTGTAGGACTCCGCGTTTGAGAACGCGGAGCCTGACGGGGTTAAGACCGGGGCCGAGGCCGGTTTGCGCGCCCTCCCTCGGCGGCTGCTTGCCACCTTTGGTGGCATCATTTCGCCGGACGTGTCGGATTCCACGTCCCCTGAGCGTCCGCGTTTCCGGCTGTCGCTCCGCTCCGCTTCCATGGCCTCCGCGCCATCCGATGAAGCGGCGGATCCGGAACGCAGCCGATCCGATGCTCTTCGGCTCCCAGTGACCAGAGTCAGACTGACCTCTGGGAGCCCCATCGAGATAGGCGTTCCCGACACCATCTCGCCCTCAGTGGACGACCCATCCGCTCCACTGTTCTTCTTTTCCTTCCTTGCCTTCGTTTCCTTCGTTGCCGTTAGACTTGCCTTTGGTTGTTGTTTTGTTCCGATCGTTTTCTTTGATTGAGTTTGATTATTGTCCATAATTGATCCCACGAGTGGGGGAGAACTAAAGGTCCACCCGGGCAGAGATCCCCCATTACCCGGGCAAGCGTAAGTTTTTAACCCAACCGAGGGGTCCGCAGGTACCTCGGCTTGGAGTGCGCTCGCGACTGAACTTCCCATCAGCCATGCATCCCCTGGCCACGCACCAGAACACGGGATTCGGGGAATTTTTTAGAGAGGTTATCTTCCTCGCGGTCCGGGCGGTTAAGCCAAGACCCTCGTCCCCGATCAGAGCCGCGAGACTTAACCACAGCGCTCTTCTCGGGATTACGATATGCCGACGGTTGACAGGGAGACTACGTCCCCCTGCCTGCTCGGTGGTAGTGTGAGTACACGCCGAGCCCGTCCTCCTTTCTCCACCGCTATCAGCGGAGAAAACTGTGGCCCCTACAGGGCCCCGCCATCAGGTTTTTTACCGAGGTTTCCTCCTCCATGCTCCGAAGAGCGAAGAGCCAGCAGGGCAACCGGCAGACACGCCCACCCTGCTGGACCAGGCCTTGCCCGAGAGCCGATGAACGGCTGCCTCTTCTGCTAGAATATTGGCCGCTGGCGATAATCCTCTCCTCCAAGAGGACAAGGAGGAAACAGTACCATCGCCAGCGTTTCCAGGGTGCACCACGAGGAGGTTTTCTAGCCCAGCACCCCAACCCTATATCAACCCGTCTGGCCAGCGTGGTATAGTAGGGCAAAACCTCCTTTCTAAGAGGCCTATGTCCAGTAGTGGACTGTTATAGGCTGTTGATGATGATGAAACAACTTGAAGGCATACCGAAGATAAGTCTATCAGGTCTTTGCTTTGTTTTGATTGACGTCAAATGTTCGACAGCTAGGGACAGGTGTTTTAATTTACTCTGTGGTTTGAATGAGAAAAGACAAGTATTGTTTTTCTTCTTGCAATTTTTTTATTTTTCTTTGCCCATAAAACAGATTACCCTTAATAGATTCGGCATAAAGGGAATCACAGGCGCGCAACACATACTTGCTGTAGCTAGCATCTGTGACGCTAAGAATCACGACTGCACGAGTATCGATAGTGTTGTGATTTATAGTTCGATATTGGTTTGGTCATCCTTTGAATATATATTTTAAGTCATTGTTTCGTACGAGAAGTGGCGTATCATTATGGTATAATGTTATTGGTTTCTAAAAGTGTCCCTAAAGAAAAAGATGTGGATTAACGCAACTTGTCGAGGGGACGACTTCCTACCAAAAATAGTGTGATATGCTCTAAACATTTCACAGAAGACAATCTTCATATTATGAAAAACCGTAGAAGGCTGTTAAAATACAAGGAAGACAGATCCTAAGGATTCCGTGAAACGTATTTATACTAAGCTCATCCATTAAAAAATCAGTGAAATATATAATTTAAAATCAAATGTAGAAATCTGTGCCCTCTGTGATGAATGATGTACGTCGAGTTCTAATATTTTTGGGATTATTCACCGACTTCAAAAAGGAGGAGGTTATCAATTCGGATGTTTATATATTTTTTTAAGTTAGGGGTTTTCCAACAAAAGGTGTTATTTTGAATCACCCGGTATTTCGGTAGCTGTCACTTTTGAAGCTTTTATTTTTTGACATTTGACAAGTACAAACTACGCCATTACTAAAAATGGAACGATACACACTTCAACAACGCATTGAAATTATTAAAATTCACTACAAAAATCGTGAAAATCTTGCAGTCACAGTTCGCAAAACTAAAGCATTTTTTGGTCGTCGTGAAGCACCTTGTCGGACCGCAATACAGAAATTAGTGGAAAAATTCGAGCTGTTGGGACAAGTTAGTGATGTGAAGAATAAAACCCGTGCACGTCGCTCAAGAACAACTGAGAATAGCCCAAAGTGTAGCCCAAAGTGTTGAAGAAAACGCAGGTTTGTCCATTCCTCGTCGTTCTTTGGAATTGGGCATTTCCACCTAGGAGGCTACGTCAACAGGCTAAATTGTCGCAACTAGGGCTCGGCAAACCCAAGAGTTATTGTTGAGAAGCCTCTCCATCCTCAACGTGTGACTGTTTGGTGCGGTTTATGGTCCGGCGGGGTCATTGGACCTTACTTTTTCGAAAATGAGGTTATATCAACACTTACGGTGAATGGATTGCGCTATCGAGATATGATTAATGATTTTTTATGGCTGGAGTTGGATGGTATTAATCTGGACAACGTTTACTTTCAACAAGACGGCGCTCCGTGCCACACAAGCAACGAAACCATTGCTCTTTTACGGGAAAAGTTTCCTAACCGTGTTATCTCTCGAAAAGGTGATCACAATTGGCCACCGAGATCTTGTGATTTAACACCTTGCGACTTCTTCCTTTGGGGCCACGTGAAAGATAAGGTCTACGCCAACAGCCCAGCGTCGATTCAAGACCTCAAAGATGGAATTCGTGAGGCTATCGAGGACATAGGGCAGCCTCTTTGCGATTTGGTTATGCAAAATTTCATTAAAACGATATGGTCCTGTAAGCGTGGTCGTGGTAGCCATTTGGCTGATGTTATCTTCCATTATTAACGGCATACCTTCCTCTTTATTATGAAATAAACAGTCGATTATTTTTCTTTGAATACTTAAATAACACCTCTTATTGGAAAACCCTTTATGTTCGGGTATAACTCTGTCATATATAGACGGATATAAATTATTTTTGTTCGAAAAGTCCATTTGTCCCATTTAAATTTCATATAGATCTGATGATGAGTTTCGGAGATAGACATCGGAACTCTTCAAAAAATGTCAGCAAATCAACTGCGATTGCTGCTAGGTTTTTAGTGCTCTTTTACAACTATTTTAAAACTGTAATATTTACAACAAAAAAATTAATGTACATCGAAAGTGAATGTTTTTGTCTATAAAAGAAGTACTCAAATTTAAGCAAGCTTACATCGCAAACTAGAACTGTTTTAAATCTTGCTTTTTTGTCTCCTGTAGTGTTGATTTTTTACTTCTATCACTTTTCACAGGAGGCACAGGAATATATACATTGTTTTTTTTAAATACATTTCAAGTAAACATTGATCAACATAATTATTTATCAATAAATCAAAAATAAAATAAATATCATTAATTCAGAATTCAGATCATCAAACCATTTTATCGATCAACGTTCCAACACTGTCCCATCCGTATGTTTCGGTGCATTCTAAGTTTGACTTTGAAATATGAAATCACAGCGAATTTGACACGTCCCCCGCACCCTTGCTTACCGGCTTATTTGGTGAACTCGAATCGGAACAAAAATTCAATAATGCGGCATTAGTTTATTCGGCATTATTTAGGCATTGATATTAGGGGGTAATCTGTGGTATATAAGTACCTTTCTTGTAACTTAACGAAAATATGTAAAAAAAATCGGAAGTCGTCGAGCCGTTCCCACAACTATTTCCTATATATATAGGAAATAGTTGTAATTCGTGTATGTTTCAGGGTTTCCTGACTGTTTAGAGCCTCTGTCAGACACCAAATATTTGTGCATCTCCGATATACGCACGCATGCAAAAAACAGTTTTGTGTGTAAATTTAAAAACGTCTCCCCACAATGCCTACATTTTTTAGCTGAAAATACATAAGTTTACGTTCACTGTAGCTCATCGTATTTTTTACAAAAATCTAATAACATAACACAAGAGTAATAACTGAAACATCCTAGTTATAAAAAATATTTCGTCACTAGGATTGCAATAGAATCGGAAGATCGGATCGGAAATCGTATTCTTTTAAGTCATTTTTAAAAAAGAATAGACCAGACAACCGCCACAAAGTCGGAATTTGATTAAGAATAGCCAGTCCAAGATGCGTGGATAAAGTTAAATACTTTAGCTGTTGGACTTTAATAACACGATGTAGATAAATATCTTTTTAATTATATACTTACAAATAAGAGGCACTTGATATAGATGGTCTTTGCAAAAGGAGGATTTGGTGTGAAAGTCTATAAAGCCTCCAGATGCAAGAACACATGGTAGATGGAAGTATTTACTGCAACTCATCTGTAATAAACAGAATATGAATATAAAATTATATTAATAAATATTTTTATAAGTAAATTAAATATAAAAGGTTCATTTTAATTGGTGTAAATCTTTTAAGTAACACTATAAACTTAATAGTTTAAAGATTACAAAAAAAATGTATACACTATGTGATGATACATATCACAAAAAATGAAATAACAGATAACACAGTTCAATATACGTCAGTTAAAACTAGTACGAAAATACAGAAATGCAAATTTAGAACAAAATAAATACAATAAAATAATTGCCGCATTAGAACACCATTGATAACATGAGTCGGTGAACTGTATACGGCAGCGTCGCAATGTCAGCGACATCAAAGCGCCCGCGACGAGGCGGCGAACTTTACATTCTTATTACGTACCTACTAATCTCGCTTTTTTAAATGTATTTATTAAAATACGATTTTATTCACGTGTTTATTTTAGGAATGCTCGACTAGCTTCGGACCCGGCAGTACGTGTCACTCCTTGAAAAAGTAGGTACTTTGGTTGTCTCGTAATCTTTGTACCGCCCTTACAAAAATTCGGCAGTCTGTCTGTCTGTTCGGCGTAACGCTAAAGATGCGTTTTGATAGAATTTCCCATAAATTAACATCATGGCAGGATATTCCGCGGCTGTGAAGGTCACTCACGGCATTATGGATGATAATACCGATAACCCAATAAAATTAAAAGACTGATAATTCACTAAATTTCACACTATACTACACACAGAACCTAATATTGACACTTTTCAAAAAAAAATTAGCAGGACTCGATACATTACGAACGTCTTGCGCACACGATAAAATTAATTGTTCACGCCATAGCCGTGTATTATGACGAAAGTAATAAGACTTAACAATTATTAACACAAGAAAACTTTTCTAAACAAAATTTCTCATGAACAACAACAATATTATTATTACTTTAATTCGTCGTGAGTCATGATGTTACAAATTACAAAAAAAAAAAAACCCTGTTTCTAAACCACTGAATATTTTTTGTTCATATTTTGCAAATCGTCTAGAAATAAAGTGCAGAATATGTTGTTTACAGATTCGTTAAAAGATAGGTGACACGCTGTATATTAGCAGTATCATTAAGTTTTAAACTTTTCATACTCACTTTACAAGGTATGCTTGCACCATGTCTGGTGCAGAAGGCACATTTTCTAGACAACGCATTGGAGACAACTCCCTTAATCCTTGCCTCTTCCATCTGCTCTTTCTCCTCTTCAGAATTGCATGTTGCTGCCACTTGTTCTTGGAAAGGGGGACTAAACTCCAGACAACATCGGTGGATGTACAAGGAACCTGATGATACTACCCCTGCTAGTTCTAAGGATTCTATATGACCAATGATTGAGAGTTCGTCCGTATGCTCCATGTTATAGAGGGGAGTTCTGTAAAATTAAAATATTTTTACACATTTGGAAACAAAGTATCAAACCAACTGTTGACACTGAAGCAATACTTTATCATTCTCCTAAGAAGTTAAGGCAGCCCTATTCACTACAAGGAAAACAACATAATCCACAATATTAAGAACTATGTCTAAGGAACAGAATAAGATAACCTTTTATTAAGACTGTGGACAGAAAATTTCTTATATATAAATATTTTACTCACTTGCACTTATTAAATGCTTTTTGCCTTCTACTCAGTGGCAATGCCAATGGATGCTGATTGGGGTCGACGAGTTCCGGCGGAGGAGACACCAGTCCTGGCGTGAGAGGAGTGCTAGGAGTACTGGTAGGTGTAACTATATTAGTAGGTGTGGCGTTGCCAGAAGTGATTGCAGGCGTTGAACTGCCGTCGCCGTCGTTTAACTTGCAAGGGATTTGCCGCATCTCTCCTTGCCCTAACTGACTTCGCTCACTTAGGTTGCATAGAGCACACACTTTGCCTGGCCTGTATTGTTTAAATAATAGCAAAATTATAGTTTATAATAATTTATATATATAATATTTTCTATTAATATTATTTCATTTGACTTATATTTATTTTTCTTTTTTTATAATAATATAAAAAAAGAAAAATAAATATAAGTCAAATGAAACTGATAAATACTAACTATGTTTATAAATACATAGTTAGTATTTATATAGTTTATAATCATAAAACCAGGGAAAATTCCTGTAACTTTTGTGTTTATTCTGCTGTTCCGGTAATTTTCTAACACCCGGTATTTACTTGTGCAGTGGTTCATATTATGTATGTGTTCATACCAAAAACAAAAAATAGTATCTATAATAGATATATTGCACTCATGGGACATAAATATGAGTACATTGCCAATGGTAGTGAACCTCACAATTCATATACGAGTTCAAACCAAAAAGCCAAAACATCCGACAATACTGAACATCAGCAATATGTACATAATTACTAGTGATGTGGTGGATCATTATTTCAAATCACATCAAATTGTGTATCCGTGGACACGAATAGAAATTATTAGGATCTATATCCGCAAATACAAATGAGGAGCCCAAATTTTTCAACATTTAAAATTGTATCTTTAAAGATTAATTTTTCTTTCCTTATCTAGAAACTTATAATTTTTATAGATATTTTTTTAAAGAGGCAAGCAAGTAATAGTTTATTTTTATATTAGGATACCATACCATTTTTCGGGCATATAGGGTGGCTCTTCAGGTATAGGTGGTATTGGGAAATCATCATCATCCATCATGTCCTCGAGGGCATCATCACGACTACCGCGGTGTCTTTTTGCTCCTCTAAGTGAACCTGCACCTCCTCTATACCTGTAAGAGAAAGTAAACATGCAAGCTTTCTTTAAATACAACTAACGATACTCAAACCACCATTGCTTAGAAGAATAATTGACATTCCTACAGTGCATCACCAACCCTGTCTCTACTCTTATGAATAAAGAACTTTAATGAAACTTGGAACCAAAACAAAGATGCAAGGATGGCATAGTGGATTAAGCAGTCACCTCACCAAAAAAAAAAGTGATAAGATGGAAGCTCAAATAGTCATAATTATAACTATTTACAAATTAAAAAATCAATAATTATTTACAAATCCATAACTGAACAACCTGATGCTACACCATCAGTATTTGAAAGGGATTGTGCGATGGTCCCAGTTAAGATGTGAAGAAGGTATTAAGGCACTAAATATTCCTCTAAGGAACCAAATTGATCGCTTTGTACAGTTGAGTTCTTTAAAATCTGACCATGTTCATGAATCAAAAATATATAGGCAATGTTGTTTCATTATATTCTAAACAGCTTTGCTTTACAATAAATTGCTAACACTCCGTGACATCACATAATGTAACAACATAACATCAATAATATTGCTACAGACAAAGACTCTAAATATTGTGCGCAATCCCTTGTTCATTTTTTTCAGTGCAAAGTGAGATTCATAAATATGTATGCAAATTTTCTATGATATATATTTTGATGTCTCGAATTTTTTTCTTAAATGCTTTGATAATTGTAACAATCTCCTAACAAAAGTAAATCCTGTGTCAATAATGGCGATTAAGCCAAGATTTCTTTTTTAATTCTATTTGATGTTGACGGGTACCTAAAAGATGTATTTCGACCAACCGGTAACATTGTTTTCCTGATGGTCATAATCGGATTTGTAAAGTTTCGTCCACAATGCAAGAAGGGTCCAGGGGTGGATAGCTCAACAAGAAGATTTACATTTAATTAAACTCCCGCCAAGAACTCCTGACCTAAACCTCACTGACAATTTATGGGGTTTAATGGTTCAAAATTGGGACTCCACGTGAGTAAGATTTCGGCAGATTTTAGAAGAAGCGCCGACGGCCGTTCAAACATGATTGCAAGATGTGGGGGTATACTAGCTGATACTACTAGCTGGAAGTTCCCTACCTTCTTTTGAATGTTAGATTTTTAGAAGAACAAAATAAGTATTTTAGAATACCTAATAAATCATAAAATAAATATTTACTTATGCATATACAATACAGATGCTTTTACGAATGGATCCGTCTCATTATTACTTCCACAATGGAAAGCAAAAATAAATCTAATAGTAAAGGCCATATAGCTCAGCTATAATAGCTAAATATTAACAGATGTATAGATATTTATGAATCCTAGGTTGTACTAAATAATAGGGGTTAAAGTATAAAATTGACGTTGTATAGTATTTCTCTTCATGGTATTATTCACTATAGCTTTCTCAGGTCTGGTCTGGCAATAACAGCAGATGTTCACTGTGATTCGAACAATGCACGAGAAACCATTGTAACTCTACAGGAGCTGCAGTTAGAAACCATACGTCTTCCACCATACTCGCCAGACCTTGCTCCAACGGACTACCATTTACTTCGTGATTTGGTTAATTTTCTACGTGATAAAAAATTTCATCCCAGGAGGCAGTACAAAATGCTTTCTCACACAGTCTGTCGAATCTAGATCCAAAGAGTTCTATCGTAAGGGCATAAATGAACTTCCTTTTAACAAATGTGTAGAAAATGAAGGTATATATTTTGATTTAATAAACATGTTACATCTTAGAAAAAAACGAGTCTCAATTTTTCTATACAAATTGGCAATTTCATACTTTAATCCCTAATATATTGAAGTCTAGAGCATTTAGATATTTTTGTGCCGAAGAGTAGTCATATATTATTGACTGCGCTACCGTCACACATTTATGTAACATAATAAGTGTGTATGGTATTTTAACGCTTATAATATTTTGAAACATTGCCACTGCCAATATATTATGAACTCGATTGTACCTACAGAATAAGCATCAAAAAAGGACATTAATTTTCAGCATCTGTAATAACACATGCGGAAAATAACTATGCAATGAACATTACACATACCTTTGTAAAGACTATTTAGCTAAAACATATTGTGTGGATGAAGAAAATATTTAATTTGGTTATTTTTTTTCCTTTTTATGATTATTATTTGGATAATGTGGAATAAGTTGAAAATGCTAGTTAAAATTTTACGTTCTCTAAAATATTTTATTAACCTAACTTAATAAACCAGAGTTTTTTTATTGTTCATAACAATCAAAAAACTTATATGTTTATTAACTTTAAGAAACTTTTAAATAGTGAGAAAATAAGCTTTCTTTTCTGTATTCCTACTTAAAAAGGTTAATGAAAAGAAGCAGCAAAAGGCTCTCCACGCGCCCTCTAACGTTTTGTGGAAACACGCGCCTGCTCTAGGGTTAAGGAAAAGTCAGGGTTGACTGGACAAACATTTCTATGTTCTATAAATAATCTCATAGGAAAACTCTATCATACATCATACACGTTAAACATAAAAGCATATATAGTTTGCCCAGAAGAATATCAAGAGATAAGAAAAAAAAGGCTCAGTTTACATCATTTAACATTTAACAACATTTCAAACATAATCTAAACATAATTCATAAGTCACAACATCTATTTAAAAAAATTACAGGAAAACACAATATAATGTCAGAATTTGTGTCTAAAAAATAACAATAATTATGATGTCAATTAAATAGTAGAATATGAGTCAAATTAACTGGATTCTAGTAGATAGAACTTAGAAAAGAAAGTTATTATATTAGATATTTGTCTTGTAAGTATTCATTAACACTTTAGTATATTTTTTGTTGTAATATAATCTTTAATTTTAATTCACTTATGCTATCTAATTTACATATACTCGCAGGAAGTTTGTTGTAGACGACATACAAAATATGCTTCTATTTACAAGCAATGTTTTATTAAGCATCGTTTTTATTTTATATTCATGGCGACGGCCATTTAAATGAGTGAATAATTACATATCTTCTTCACAAACATAGTCACTTCCAAGGTGTATATATGAATGGAAGAGTAAGTAAATTAAGACTTTTAAAAATTCAGTACTCTTAAGTCTACCAATAGCTCTAATACATTGCTTTTGTGTTTTAAAAAGCATACTCCCAGTTAGTAATTTCCCCAAAAGATGATACCCTTTTGCATTAATGATCCTGCATGAGCATGTTATGCTGTTACAACCGTGGATGTGTTAGCTGTTTTTGATAATTCCAAAACCCAAAGCAGGTCTACTTCTGTTTCTAAATAACATTAAACTGGATTTTTCCAAATTAATAATTTAGTTAGCTATCAACTATAATCAACTATCAACCAGGTTTTCGGTTATGCTGTGTTTCAATTTATCATGATTTTTATTAGAAGAAAATTAACAGAAGAGAATAAACAAATTAAGTCAAATGGTGTAAAGCAGTCCTTTTAATTACTAATAACTTACCTTCTAACAATTTTTCCCTCTCGCACTAACTTTGGGCCTTCCTTCCTCGGTCTACCTGGTCCCCTACGACCTGATGTGAAAAATGGCCTAGTGTAGGACTGGTGGTGGAAGAAAGAAGGCTGCGAGATTGCACCATGAGGTGAAGCAGGTTCTTCACCTCGAGGCGAAGATGCGCACGATGTTGGAGTAGAGCCCGGCCCAGTATAAAATTCTAAAATGAGAATACCAATAGTCAGTACAGCAGTGCTCAATGCACTAACCATATCCATCATTACATGCTTAATTTTAAAAATAAATGTTTAAATGTTAGCAGAGTTTTTTTTTTGTAAAATGATAATTCATGGTATGTTCCAATTAAGTCAAGCAAAACAATCAACGAAAGACTTAACGGCAAGCTGGACTGTTACTAGTAGATACTGGTACTAATTCTGTTTTTGACACAACTAAACTAAAACTTCTCTTAAATTCTCTTATTTAAATGAGTTGATTACCAAAATGCTATTCTGTTGTCAAGTCGAACTAAATTTGGTGTTCATTAAAAAATGTTTGTAATTATATTATTAGGATTTTAAAATTCCTGTAAATAATTATTAATGCACATAATAGATCAAATATTAAACAACATGTTGTATTTCTCAATTATAGCTAAGTAAATACAGTTTTACTCAGTTCAAATACCTGGCAACCCACAGTAAACATTTTTCTTTATCTATGTAACTAAACCAAATTTCTCTGAATCAATGCATGTAAATTTGGCACAATAAATAATTAACAAACAATAACATCAATCCAATTGAAAATAAATACATAAGCTATATTATATATACTTTATTAATTAATTACTTACTTACTGGACTATTACTGCTAAGTAGTAATAGTCCAGTAAAAAAATATTAATATATAGTTTTATAATTTTCGACAGAAGGTCAATAATACCTACAATAAATTGTTACATCAAGTATTTTTATTAAATGTAATATAAATCATAATATTGTTTTTGTTTATTAATTTTTTATTTTAAGTTTACTTGTAGTACTATTAGTGCATGTTGTGACACCTTAAAATGTGCATTTATGGTAGTTTTTAGTAAATTTATTGTCGCATTGGCATAAGATTAAATGTAACAGCAACTGGTTGTCCTTTATAAATAAATAAATAAATATAATACTGGATGGTCTTGAATTTGTTCAAAAAGTGTATTCTTTGGTTTCCAAAAATTATGCGTTGGTATGTCTTAATAATCCAGATAGGATACATGATAATAATATAATAAAGCTATTTATAGTTTGAAAAAACATTGAATCGTTGTACTCAAATAAAATTATAATCACAGCTTTTAGTAGCATTTGTGATTTAATATGATAACATGAAATCGCTATTCATTCTTTTTTTTAATCCACAAAATTTTAAGAATTTATACTTAAACAGTATAATCAACAAATAAGTCCACTGATATTTCTAATTTAAGTTCAATCTTTGACGATTAGAATAGAATAGTAAATGACAAATTATGGGCTAAATTTACTAACTTTGGTTGTGTCAAACTAAATAAAGTGAACTCCTACATTTTCAGAATACGAAACATTGTTTGACAAGACTAAACAAATTTTTAGTGATTTTTAGTTTAGAGAGTTTTCAAACAACAGAATTAGCACCACTATTTCTTCCAATTATGTTAAGTAATTATTTTACTAGCTTTTAAATATTTGCCTTATTATCTACAATATCTTAATTGCAATGTTATATGTTTACAGGAATAAACACAAGACAATAGGTATTAAGCACTAGCCATAGTCACAGGCTGACTGAGTGAGTTGCAATTTCAGGCAGTTCAAAGATATGTTCTTAATTAATACCTATCGTAAGTGCGTTTATTTCTGTAAAAACAACTATGTGAAATTTATTTTAACAAATTTATTTTCACATTGGAATTAACTGTAATCCTTTTTCTTAGTGGTCAGCTAATCCTATACTACACAGAGTTAAGAAAGTTCATCATAAGTTTAAAAAAAGATATATCCTGCAACAATGTATACAGAGGACAACTTTACTCTAAAGCTGGCCTCGTCTATTGAACACAACGGACCCCATAAGTTTACTCTAATGCAAAGAAAGGGTTATTCAATCAACATAATTTGTACGTCTATTGCACACAACGGACCCCATAAGTTTACTCTAATGCAAAGAAAGGGTTATTCAATCAACATAATTTGTACTACGTGTAGCCCAAGTGCCATCAACTTTCATAGTAAATAAACACAATCAATATTATATTTTCTACAAGAATTGTGCATTACAGATAACCACACAAACATTTATGTGTACAAAATATACATCTTTACTTGATTTAAATGCTTTGTAGAGGATAATAACTTGGATTATTTTATAGTTCCTTGTTAAAGAAATAGTATGACTAATAATCATGCAATATTCGATAACGAAATATGGTTTGGAGTTCAGGCAACCACATAATACAAAATTGAAAGTACTACTTTATACATACCATGTCAACCTAAATTGTGTAGGAGAGGATTAAAGTAGGTATCTATGTTTCGATAATACCTAAAAAAATATGCCAAAGGATTTTATGATGTTATTAAATCTTTTCATACCTGACGACGGCGGGGCTTCGCCTTCATCTTCAGAGCCATCGTCAGCCAACAAATCAACGTCCAATACATGCTCGTCCTGTACGTCCATCTGAAATACAGGGAATGTTAATTACACACAGGGAACAGCACACTGCGCCGATGTTTAGAGTCATTACGAAATTATTTACAATTTGCATTTAATCAAAAGTAATGAGACCGCCATAATGAACGACAAGTGTACCTTATTATAAAGTTACAAACTTACCGCAACATCTAGCGATGGACTTTAAATTTACCAAGTTTAGATCACTGAACTTAAATTCGCTAATAAAATCATTTTGCTGTTTTATAATACATTAAAAAACACAAATACAGAAAATTATACGATTCGCTGTAATGCGAACGAAACGAAGCGCATAATAGAGATGTGACAACATTGTCAACAATTTCATTCATTCAATCTAATCGATTTACTCCAATTGTTTACTATATCAATCCAAGTATTTTCAAAAGCAATTTAAAGATTACAATAATGTAATTCGCAGCCTCCTTGTTGTAATAATACTTGATTTTCTTATTTACTGATCATAATTAATTTTATTCATAAAAGTTAAAGTTAAGGTAGAAACTACTGTGAAATGAAACGTTGATTTAACTTGCTTACGTGTTTTTAATTTATATGTTGTTTCTAATCTCAACTAAACATTAGTGATGCGCAAAATGTATCACTGAGCTGAAAAGATTGATATATATCATTTCGCTCAAAAGATATATATCACTCATCTAGCTCACTAGCTCATTTAGCTCACTAACTCGTTTAGCTCACTAGCTCATTTAGCTCACTAACTCGTTTAGCTCACTAGCTCATTTAGCTCACTAACTCGTTTAGCTCACTAGCTCATTTAGCTCACTAACTCGTTTAGCTCACTAGCTCATTGATCCGATTCAATTGATTCTTCTCACAATTAATTCATTTCTTCATCTAGATCGTTTAGCTCAGTATACTCGTATATCACTCACTTTAAGCCTCTCTCGCCATACAAACCTTTCTTAATTTTCATATTAACCTAAATTCAGTTTTTGAAACTACATTTTTAACCAATTTTTTTTAAATACAATTTTATCCATTTTGATAAGATTACATAATTATTAACATCCTTTTACATAATAATTAAAAATAAGAAATTATTTCTTGTACTTTTTTTAGGTTGTATAATTTTCCTTGTACTTGGCTTAATTCTTAAGTAATATTAAACTTTGATCCTATAGAAATAATGTACATTTTGCATAAAGAAACCTGCGTGAACTCAACCATCATCTATCTCACTCATTTATATTTAGTCTCACTCGCTCATGAAACAAAGATCGGCGTCGTTGAGCTAGTGATCTAGTGAGTTATTAGTGAGTTACTGATATATTCGGAGCTAGTGTGAGTGAGTGATACATTTTATCGTCGTGAATGATATATATCTTTTATATCACTCACTCAGGAGCCACACAACTCTACTAAACATCATTATAGATGAGATTAGTGATGCGCAAAATGTATCACAGAGCTGAAAAGATTGATATATATCATTTCGCTCAAAAGATATATATCACTCATCTAGCTCACTAGCTCATTTAGCTCACTAACTCGTTTAGCTCACTAGCTCATTTAGCTCACTAACTCGTTTAGCTCACTAACTCATTTAGCTCACTAGCTCATTGATCCGATTCAATTGATTGGTCTCACTATTAATTCATTTCTTCATCTAGATCGTTTAGCTCAGTATACTCGTATATCACTCACTTTAAGCCTCTCTCGCCATACAAACCTTTCTTTATTTTCATATTAACTTTCATATTAAATAAAATTAATTCAGTTTTTGAAACTACATTTTTGACCTATTTTTTTTTAAATAAAATTTTATTCAATTTGATAAGATTACATAATTATTAACATCCTTTTACATAATAATTAAAAATAAGAAATTATTTCTTGTACTTTTTTTAGGTTGTATAATAGAAATCATACATAATTTAATTTTCCTTGTACTTGGCTTAATGCTTAAGTAATATTAAACTTTGATCCTATAGAAATAATGTACATTTTGCATAAACAAACCTGCCTGAACTCAACCATCATCTATCTCACTCATTTATCTTTAGTCTCACTCGCTCATGAAACATAGATAGGCGTCGTTGAGCTAGTGATCTAGTGATCTAGTGAGCTAGTAGTGAGTTACTGATATATTCGGAGCTAGTGTGAGTGAGTGATACATTTTATCGTCGTGAATGATATATATCTTTTATATCACTCACTCAGGAGCTACACAACTCTAGATGAGATAAATAATAGCTGGCGTGGGCTTCCCGTGTCCTTAAGAGATCAAACGTGTCAAAGTAATAATTGATTTGGGATATTATTATTTCAATTATATAGGATTACCTCAAAAATCATGAATTACAATTTAATTTCAACAATATTATTTGTAACGCTTAGTTGTACGTGCAAATCAACACTGTTTGACAGTGAGTCTTGTTATTCTTTCGGTAGCGGAAATGTTTTTCCTGGAGGAGCTAGAAAAGTTGATCATAAATTACAATTTACGAAAGCGATGAGTAAGTTTCTTTGAATACCTTTGTATTTTTTTTTACATATAAATTGATTTTGTAATTGATTGTAAGCATTAACTTAATTTTAGTATCGAAACCAGCGCCGGAATGGGAAGCTACAGCGGTTGTTAACGGTGAAATTACACAACTTAAGTTGTCAAGCTTTAAAGGAAAATATTTGGTGTTTTTCTTCTATCCTCTTGACTTGTAAGTAACTATTCTTTACATTTAATTAAATAAAATATATGGACAACTTTCACTGAACAATAACATCACAATGTTATGCTCAATAGATTTGTTTATTTAAATATGAAGCTAAATTAGTTGACAACCTATATGAAATGGTAGGTTTGCTCAATTCCTGGTCAATAGAAATGTTTCTATACATGAATGTCTTTTTGTATTTAGGTTCTAGAAAATAGTGTTAGTGATCATATATACTAAAGTATAAAAAAATATTTTTTTCTTTTCTAATTTTCAACACTTCCTCTATTCATCATTTTTTTATTTTATTTATTCACGATAATAATACAAATGTACGAGTACCTCTTTACTACTGCCAAACTACAAAGCAGTTTGTTGGCAGTTGTAGCTCCCATAACATCATATCAATTTAACTTTATTTGTTAATTACAATTTTTCCACAATATTTATAATAATGAATCACAATTAAAGATTCAAATGTTTGAATGACAATAATAATAAATTAATTAATAAGTTAATTAAACAATAATACATGCGATACAGATTGACAAATGATTACTAAATTTTTACTAAATTTACAAATATTTTTATATAAGCGCCTTGCACCTTAGAGGGTGTATCGACAATCTATTTGTTCAGTATACCTACACGACTACATATATTTAAAGTTTTCGCTGACTACACTTAGGAGGAACTTTATTATTTTGTTTTTGAATGTTTCAGTACTTTTGTTTGCCCAACTGAAATTTTGGCTTTCTCTGAAAGAATAGAAGAATTCAAAAAAATTAATACTGAAGTAGTGGCCTGTTCAGTTGACTCACATTTCACACATTTGGCCTGGATAAATACTCCACGCAAAGAAGGAGGACTGGGGAAAATTAATATCCCATTATTGAGTGATTTAACTCATTCTATTGCTAAGGATTATGGTGTTTACTTAGAAGATCTGGGACACACATTAAGAGGATTGTTTATTATTGATGATAAAGGTGTCCTAAGGCAGATTACAATGAATGATTTACCTGTGGGTCGATCTGTTGATGAAACTTTGAGATTAGTGCAAGCATTCCAATACACAGATAAGAATGGTGAAGTGTGTCCTGCTGGTTGGAAACCTGGTCAAGACACAGTGAGTACAAAACCAATAAAAATATTGAATTCTAATATATTAATTCTTAACAATGTTATATGTATGTTTATTTATAAATATTTCAGATAATACCAAATCCAGCTGAAAAGAAAAAATACTTTGAGAAGGTTGCTAAAAATTAAAAAAGGACATGAAATTTAAATATCACAGCTGCTTCAACAGAGCTGTTTTTTTAATATAGTCAACAACAACAGCAGTATTAGGTAGTAAGCACTTTTGATAAACTTCAAATCTTCAGCATGCTGTAAAACTTGTTTTTTTAATTTTTCACCTTATTTTAGTTACTCACTGGTTGGTACTTAAGTGTTATATTTTAAACAAGTTATAGAACCAGCACTTTTTATAAATAAAATATTTAATATGTTTTAGTAATACTCATTTAACTAAAAGTTGAAAGTACCAGCTAAAATTGATTACTTATGGAAGAATTTCACATTCTTTGCACAATTTTAATTTTAATTTTTTAACCACATATCTAACATCTAAAAACCTGAGTTTTTAGATGTTAGATACTTGGTTTATTAAGTCATCAGAAATTTACATCACAAAATAAGACTGATAAGATAAATTTTGAACTATTTTAATAAGAAAACAAGAATAAAATGCAGTTTCGGTGTGGTTTAATGTTGTTTTAATAACTCTTTCTTAAAACAAAAAACCTTAAATTCTTAATATGTTTTCCAAAATAAACAGCAACTTGTTATTTTTTGTATTGAAATTGTTAATGCCTTCGTCACTTTTTAAAACATCTGGTCGCTATGAACCTGATAACTTAAGATTGACTTCATCGCAATTCTGTTCTACATTGTCATGTTATTTTATGTTTACTCATAACTTGTCATAGACTCATAGTATTCTCATCTACTTTTCTTCAACTTTGATTTCTTTCTTTTTTGTTTCCATCCAATTTTTGTAAGTAAATCTTTACATAGTATTTTTTTTTTCTGTTTTTCCTCTTTTTTTTTTCTTTTCTTAAAACGGGTAGTCCACATAAGGAAAATAGCCTGTGTCGCGGAGGACTTTACAAAAAACATGAAACGGACTCAAAGAACACCCAAACTCAGAACAACGATTTGTGGATCACAAAAAGTTTCGTCCCATGTGGGGATAGACTCAAGATGCGCGAGGATGTGGAGAGACTCTTTGCGCAAGATGGCTGGCACTACGTGGATGCGAGAAGCCCAAAACCGACCTAAGTGGCGTGCAAGGGGAGAGGCCTGTGTGCAGCAGTGGACTGCGATAGGCTGATGATGATGATGTGGGGATCGGACCCACAATGCTCAGCGTAGTAGCAAGCGGCGGGGCGTCCGCTTAAACCACTACGCCATCCGTGCAGTCATAGTATAAAATGGATTCGCTTTTTTCTCTTGTACGCTTAGATATTTTAATCTACGGAACGGGTTTTAATGCGGTTTTCAACAATTTAGGTCAAAATTGCCTTTAACATCATGTCATTAAAATGAATATCTTAGTAGATGTCAGATTTAAAATGCGGGGGCAAAGCGGTCGTCACCGTGTCGGGCCGTTACTTCCGTCTCGGGTTGCAGCAGCCAGGGAGGAGAGGAGCGGGCCTATAAATATTGCATAATAATGTAAAGATGTCCTGTAGAATAGTCTTATCATAATAATTTACTCACCACTGACAACAAATTAGTAGTAAGTATTATATTATTAGTATCTACATTGCACCCGTTCGAAGACGGATCGATAGTAATTCAATAAAATACGTGGGATACGATGATAAAAGACATTGTTAACGTTACGGTCATAAAATAAATAAAAAATACTTACCTACAGCTATAGCAAAATATAATGTCATCATAATCATATTAACGCATATTTACATATACTAAACAAACATATACACAACACAAAATCGGATATAGACGTCGATGTATCGAATAATACATATAGACCTACGCTACTCATAGAGTCGTTAAAGCTTAGGTACGTTATTAGCCTTTTCCGTTTTACGGAAGATCCCATAAATCGAGACTTTTATTTATAGTGAATTAAAACGGTTAAACCAATTACAATAAAAATAAACTAAGTAAAAATCAATTGCAAGAAAAAAAAGAACTGAAAATAATAATAAAAGGAATACAAAATAAAATTCATAGCAATAGCATTAACGGCAAATTAAAAACTAATATTGCACCGTGCCCCTCACATAGATTCTCGCAAAATATTGAACATACTCTTACAATTTCACTCCATTTGTCACTCAGGATTGTTGATCAGGAGGGTTTGGTATGCACACTAAAGACTGTTCTGACGACTGCATGACATACCGCGAAAAATGCGCGGCAGCGCGCTTTCGACGATGTGGATGGAAGTTATAAGGCACATACGAGTATAGCCGACAAAACATATGGTGAAGTCAACTCCCCCTCGAAGGGCTTCTTTTACAAGCTACCAAAAGCTGATGGAGACTTGTCCTAATCTCCAACGAATTAAAACCTAAAACCCTTAATAAAACCTTTTGTATAGGTACCGGAGGAAGGTTTTTAAACCTTTTCAAGCATCTAAGCTTAGATCGCTGTATGGGGGGTTCCAGATGCAAGAATTCGCCTCCAGTTTAACCAACGTGATGTAGAGAAACCTAATGAGTGGTAGGTTCTCCAAGTCGTGGATTCTAAGCGTCTGAATGATTCTCTAGCCAGAGAAGAAACATGTCACCGAATGTTAAATGTTGGTCAAAATTCGCCCCCAAATCCTTAACGTTGCTCCCAAGAGTAATTGTTTAATCAGCTAAGGTGTAGTTATAGGTATAGAAAAGGTCGTGATTTTCTAGAGTAGGTCATAATGTAACACTAGTGTTGAAAAGCAGTTTTGTTTTCAATGCTCCATTGATAAAATACGTTAACAGCTTTTAGTAGCAGTGGTGTTTATTAGCATACTTAATCAGTTTGAGGGCGTCAGCATATAGTAAGCATTTTGCAGCTGCAACCTCATTTGCCAGATCATTACCCAGTGGAACACAATTGTGTCAAACTATTGTCAGAATGACGTCATGCACGTCATGATTTACGTAAGATATAAAGATATATCTCCACAGAACATATATACCCCTAAAGGGGAAGAATAACGACTCCATACTATTTTTATGAGGAAATTTTTCCTTACCGGCCGGCGCCATCTATGCTCCGCCCACCAAAACTAGACAGTAGAAGCTAGGGCGGGAATTTCAAAACAGATACTTTGTATTGCATTTTATGCACAAGTACAGTGCGTTTCTCGATAGTGTTCATCAAGATGGTCAATTATTTCTCAGCAAAAACAATTGACATCTAAACGACATCACTATCGAGAAACACACTGTACTTGTGCATAAAATGCTGAAAGCAATATTTATGGATCAGTGTAATAAAAGAAACATTAGTATTTGACTTTTTTATTTAGCATAATATTCATTATAATTTATCAGATATTCATATTATAAGCAACTATATACTAATTTTACATGAATAAATGTGTTTTTTGATTATATATTCATTTGGGACAAAAGGTGTTCACAAGTATGTGTATGTAATTTTTTTGCGTGTGTTGTGGCCACCCTCTAGTGTCAGAGTTTATTAAGTCGCCTCTGGGAATCCCACAGGCCTCTGACATGGCGTGTATGTAATGATAATTAATCACAAAATTTGTCGCTTAATCTAAACACAAATTAAACATAATATTCTAAAAATGAGATAATACATACAATTTGAAAATACAGCAAGCATCTTCGACCATATGGTCTATTGCATACAATTTTAACATCAAAAACCTAGACAAGGTCAAACACAAGTTTACACTTTACAGACATATATCATAATATTATATAATATGTATTATTTCAGTTTAATAAAATAAATAAAGAAATGATTAACAAGAGAGATACTTATTATTTTTGTTGAAGGTAGACAGATCTGACCAATTTAGCTACACTGTCGTCCATTAATAAAACAAGTTGTAAAGTAATAAATAAAGCATAATCAGCCTATGATGAAATGATATTTATTTCTGTAAGTAAATCTTTTCAGATATTTTTACAAGTCGGACTTTATAGCTAGAAGGAGCCGGCAATTCCTAAGACTCACTCTGGGAAGAAACACCGAAACAAACCACAGAGGTGTCTTTTTTTTTTTAAGTCCTTAAACAAAGTTAATTAAAACTGTGCGAGTACTGTATAGGGTCTGGATAGGCCTTTTGAGGAAAGGATCATAGTTTTGAGTCAACCTGTCCATACAGACGGCATACAGGCTCCAGCCATCGTGTAGCCTAACCGATATTGGTCAAGATCAACGACCCGAAGCATGACACTACCGCCAGCAGGACATTTGGGTAGGCCGTGGAAACACTCAAAACCACCATAAAGATAATAAAAAATTAATTAACATTACAAGCCTACACTGTACTCACATTTACATACTTACACAAAAAATAAAAAAATACTATACAGTTCAAAGTCAACGAAAAATAAAATACGAAAACAAAATACGAAATACACCAAAAAATAATAATTAAATGTCCATCACTTTCAAACTTAACAACAAAGATGTCTACGTAAATGTGGGAGTGAGCAGCATCAATCCCAAGCAAATTTGTCGTCTAAATAATCTGTAATAGTGTAGTAAGCCTTTTCACATAGTTTTAGCTTTACTAAAGACTTAAATTTATTAATACTTAATTCATGGAATTTGCTTGGCACTTTATTGTAAAATCGCACACCCTGACAATGAAAAGACTTGCTTACTTTTTGTAGTCTAGTGGTTGGTAACACGAGTTTATCTTTATTTCTAGTGTTTATTTTTTTTGCATGTCGCTAAACTTTGTGAATAAATGATTATTTTTCTTTACATACACTAAATTTTCATATATATATTGAGATGCGACTGTCATGATACCAATTTCTTTAAACTTATCCCTCAGTGACTGCCTATAACTAAGATTATAAATTGCACGAATAGCTCTCTTTTGCAACACAAAGATACTTTGAATGTCAGCAGCATTTCCCCACAACAAAATACCGTATGACATTACACTATGAAAATAGCTAAAATACACCAGTCTAGCTGTTTCTACATCGGTTAATTGACGAATTTTGTAAACCGCGTATGCTGCAGAGCTGAGTCTATTC